AAATGAATGATCAATTTTGTTTAGGGGCTTGTTGGCCAAGACACCAAGAGAAACTTCTTTCTCTTTTCGAGTAGTGCCATGGATCTTTAACATCTGCATGAACAGGCAGACAAGACCTCGGTATAATGTCTCATTTGAAGGATGACTGGTTTGAATTGAAAGCAGCATTTTTCACACAAAATTCTTGAAGACCACATTACAACTGCCAAGATCAAAGAAACTACACACATGGACATGGGCTTTGCAAATGTAGAAATATTATTCAGTGTGTTGATATAACTATGAGAAAGATTAGGCCAATCCCCAGTAATGCTACCTGTATATGCAAGGGTTATGTGACAATCTTGAATGTTTCCTTTCTGAGTTAATTTTAGATGGGAAGTTGGGAATAAGCATTGGCACAACAATTTTAGGTGGGAACCCTTGACCTTAAGAGAACATTCTTTTGCAATGGTCTGCCCCAACCACAGCAACTGAATTGGTGTCTGAAAAAGAAAGTGAGATAAACAGTTTGGGCATGACCATTTGATAAAGGTGACATTTTAACGTAACTTTTCAGGTGACCTGCTGTGGATTTTCAATGAGATCTCATTGTGCGTGAAAGATCTCTCAAAGTACAGTGTACTTTGTTTCCCTTGAATGCTAATCTGATGCTGTCTTTGATGCCAAAAGTAGACTTGAATTACAAGGAATATAACGTTAGCTGATGTGTCAAACCTAAAAATGTTCCTGATAAAAGCTTCTTTGTTGGATTTCCCCCAGGAAGTTAGAGGAGCAAGTTCTTGAACCTGACAGTCCAAATATGCCTACAGTTTAGCTAGACTGTATGTTATTTAGTCTTCTCTGAACGTGAGATCTAGTTCATCCAGTACAAAATTGTGGTGCACTGAAAGACACATAAATCTCTATACTGGAGAGACCTTTCTGCTGCTATCCATATTTTGAAGGCAGAGCTAGACATAAATCAGAGATTTATAGTTAATTTCCGAGTGTTAATTCAAGATTCAAAGTTAAAAATAATCTCAAGCCCATACATCAACATTTACGGCACTACGAGAGAAACTTTTTCCCTCGCTCCCTGATCAATACAAACACAATGATGTGACAATGGAAGAAAATTCAAATACTTCAACTGTTAAACATGGTGGGGAATGAGAACTCTGTGGTAAAAAGAATGAAAGTGTGTTAAAGGGACAGAGAGGTTTAGTTATTTCCTTTGTGGGATGTAGAAAGTATGTAAAGGTTACTGAATGGAAATGAATTACATAGTGACTTTATACATTTGAACTGGGTAATGGAATCTCTTCCTTTTGACCTTATAACAGTGCTCATATCATGCAAATGAATACCCTCATAAAGCTACAGCTGAAGCCAGAACAGGACGGTTACACTGCTACATTTTCATTTTCCATTTTGGTTTCTCAGTGCTAAAAAGGGTGAAAAAAAGGTTTTTTTGGGGGACTAATCCACATTTTTAACATTAAAACTACTGCCGGAAACCAGAACGCTTGCTTCATAACTAACGACCATTGGAGTTGTTTTATTATAGTCACCTATCTATAGGTTCATTAAACTTGTGGTTCCTGGAGGCAAAAAAGCACTAAGGGAGGTTGAAAGATTGATTTTGGTAATTGTCCAATGCTTAAAGTATTTGAAACGATCAAAGAAACAACCTTTAATTTGAAGGTTCCATACATTAGATCAGATCATTTAAAACATGATTATGGATTTTTTTTAAAAAAACACGTGTGTCCAATTTTTTAATATCATTTCTGCTATTCCTGATCCCGTCTTCTTATTGGTTGCAGTTTCGTAGGATCTAGTTGCTGTCTGGTACCCACCGATGTTGGCCAGTTCACATGCGAGTCTGGGCAGTGAGTGTCAGCAGGCCATTGGCCATCGAGGGCGGCATAGCTGAGCCTGACCTCTCCCTACCTGACTACCACACACACACACAAAGTACAAGGGTGCTCACAAGGGATGAGAAGCAAGAACCCTGGCTGCTTTTACCCTCCCTAATCCTGGGAAGGCAGTAGCCATTTATCCTCTTCATCCAGTCCCTAGCTGAGCCCGGCAAACTCAGCAAGGACCACTATTCAAACCAGCAAGTTCAAGGTCCCTAAGATGCATCTCTATCTATCACATCATTAAGCTTATCCCTTATTATGGATCTTTATGGGGGGAAATAAATGAAAAGGCAAAAAGCTTATCGTAAAAAGCTGTTAATTCCAAAGTTAATTCATAACTAGTAGTTCAGTGAAAGGAGCTGATAATTGAGAAAAAAAACTTGCTTGTCCAAGCTGGTCTTGTATGTAATTCCCCCCCTCCCCCCCCCCCCCCCCCCCACACACACACACACACAGCACATAGCTCAGGCTTCCAGTCATTTGCGTGAGACAGTTTGAGATTTCCTCCTGACGTAAATTCACATTGTTCCCTTTGTTGTTGTTGTAACTCTTCTTCACAGAGTTGGAATGTGGAATTCTCCACCACTGACCATAGTTGAAGCAACATGCTTTTAAAAAGGGAATTATCTAGACGCTTGAAGAGAAAGATATGGAATATAAGGAAAGTAGGTTGGAAGTGTCTCATTTGGAGAAAAGAAAAAATGCAGAGATGATGGGCCAAAATAGCCAGTTTCGGTGCTGTAATCCATCTAAGGATCTATAATTCTAAGCAGTTAAAATGGTAGATTTGCTCAGCCCTGAAGTGTGAATGGATGTGGCTGAAAAGTCCCTGTTGTATTTTGCATGACCACTTCTGCAGGCAATGTTTCTAATTTTACACCCTTGAACAAGACAGCCACTGTATTTCTAACATCAGAGACACTTTCAATGACTGTATGTCTTGTTCCTACAAAGCTCAATTATGCATAAGGACTTGTTTTGTAAAATGATTAAATGATTACCCAGACTGTGTAGCGATAGAAAACCAAGGATAAGACACCAAAGACTAAAAGCTGAACAAATCAATCTCACAAGAAAAGTAACAACATCCTGACCATGTGTGACCAGGGCTCCTTCTGCCTCCTCGTCCTCCTCGACCTCTCTGCCGTCTTTGACACCATGGACCACTGAATACTCCTCCACCGCCTCTCCTCCCACCTCAACCTTCAAGGTTCTGTCCTTGTTTGGTTCAGGTCCTACCTTTCACACCGCTTCCACTTCGTCGCGGCCTACCGGCTTCTCCTCCAGCCCCCGCACCATCTCGTGCGGTCTTCCTCAGGGCTCTGTCCTCGGTCCCCTCCTCTTCACTCTCTACATGCTCCTCCTTGGTGACATCATCCGCAGACATGGGGTAAATTTCCACATGTATGCGGATGACACCCAACTCTACCTCTCTGCCTCCATCCTGAACTCCAGGACTACTGGCGTCCTGTCCAACATCAAGTCCTGGACGATGGCCAACTTCTCCAACTCAACGTCAGTAAGACCGAGATCCTCCTGATTGGTTCGTACCAGCGCCTCCGCACCTCGGGCAATGGCAGCATCAGCCTCCACGACTGCACACTCAACCTCACTAAGCCAGTCAGGAACCTGGGTGTCTTGTTTGACCTGAATTGTCCTTTCTCCACCACATCCAAGCCATGACTGACACTGCCTATCACCACCTCCACAACATTGCCAGACTCCGCCACTGCCTCACCCCTCAGGCTGCTGAAACCCTCACCCACGCATTCGTCACATCAAGGCTCGATTACGGGAACTCCCTCCTCATCGGCCTTCCCAACTCTTCCCTTCACAAGCTGCAGATCATCCAAAACTCTGCAGCTCGTGTACTTTCACACACCAGGCTCCGTGACCCCATCACTCCCACCCTCGTCCAACTCCACTGACTCCCCATTCCACAGGCGATCGAGTTTGAGATCCTCGTCCTCACCTTTAAGGCCATCCATGGCCTTGCCCCCTCCTATCTCTCTGACCTGCTGACTCCCTACCAACCTGCCCACTCCCTCCGTTCATCGGGCTCCGGCCTGCTCCATGTCTTCCGCCCAACCCGCCCTACCATTGGTGGCCAGGCTTTCAGCCTCTCTGCCCCCACACTCTGGAATTCCATCCCATGGTCCCTTCGCCTCGCTTCCTCCCTTGCCTCCTTCAAGGCTGGTCTCAAGATCCTTCTCTTCGACCGTGCCTTTGGTCTCCCTCTCACCTCTCTGCCTTCCCTCACCCCTACACCAACCCTCCCCTCCCCCATGCTTGGACCCCGACACCTGACTGTTCAGCGCTTTGGGATGTCCTCCCGATGTGAAAGGCGCTCTATAAATGTAATTTTGTTGTTGTTGTTGGTGGTGTTGTAATTCATTTATACCCTCTCTGCCCTACCAGCACTCCCCCCACCATGCCCCATACCCCTTTCTCAGATCCCACACTCATAATTGCATATTTTATAAATGATTTAGTGATGGATTACTGATAGGCAGGCATTTGCCCATCAGAAGTACTATATTGTAGAAAACAGTGGAAAGACTTAGAAAGCCAATGGTTGCAAAAAACATTATACCAACATAAAAAGCCCATTCATTCACCCTACCAGACCAGGAAATTTGGATATGTACTCCATTATAAGGTTGGCACTGTTGTGATGCCAGTCAACGGGAATTACATTGTTAATTGTTTTCACTTAGAATGAGAAATACTTACAAAGAGCAGCATCTGTCCTTTTGCAAGTGCATGCTGTTATTACTTGAAATAGGCAGGAAACCTTGAAGATTTCAATTTGGCAAAAATGTACATGCAAAGAGCCTTGAAGTTTCTCAACTTGGGCTAAAAATTCCATTTCCTTCAACTTCACATAGCCTCAATCTTTACAATTGTCCAGACCCAGTTACTAATGGGCAGTCAATAAAACAGCACCTGATCTGCACTCTCATTTACATCTTAATCAAATTATTGTTGCTATTAAAGTTGTTTGGGACGTCCTCCCGACATGAAAGATGCTATACAAGTGTAATCTTGTTGTTGTATTAAATATTTTTGACTTCAGCAAAATATGATACTCACGGACAGTCTCACAAAGTATCTGGTGCCAGGAACCAGTTGTCTCATGGTGAAATCCAAAAATAGGTCTGAGCTATTATACACCAAATCTGTGGTGTTAAAACTGCCTTCAGGGGTTGAGACATATAGTAAGTAGCGCTCAAGAATCCCATTAACTTCTGCTGGTGCCCTCCACCTAAATTTGTCAGAAAAATACAACTCAATAAGGTTCTGACTCAACTGTAGAGAATTAAGGTGCAGTTGGTATAATAGTTTAACCATTAGGAACAATTTATTTTAGGTTTTCATATTGGATTTTGTATCTTTTTTACAAATTTATTTATAAATAACCGATCCATTGTTTTTGCTTCCCATCATATTAAGACACTAAGCAACTGGGGCCCATATTGAAAACTGCAACAAAATTTTCCAAGTATTATTATAAACATGTAAATTCCATAATTCAGAGGAAAATTTCTATATCATTTTCAGCTCGTCTTTTATGAGACTACACATTTTTGGAAAGAGTATCTCGAGGGTATTATTAGAGCAAGTATTTAATTCTTGATCATCTATTCCCTTTAATAATTTCACATGCTACATCTAGGAACCTTATGCCATAACAATACCACTTTTTTAAATTAAACATTTTGTGAAATATGTTTACTATCAATAAGTTTTATTTTTGCCAAAAATCTTGACCTTTTAAATCTTGGAAATGCATTTCTTTCTTGTCACATTTTAGTAACAATCATGTTAAAATTGTGGATTTCTCAACAAGATTCCTTAATAAAAAATAATCTGATTCAGGTAAATAGGGGGAAGGGGAGATTCCTTCAAGCATTCGGGAGTATGTCATGCTGACCCATGGGAATTCCACTCCAATGCGATCTATTTCGGGAATGGAATTTGTGTGGGTCAACGGGAATTCTGACAAGCACCACCAACCCCTTTCCCCTGCAATGAAGGAGTGAGTGATTGACTTGGGGTAGAAGAACCTCCCATTCCTCAAGGGCGTTGTCATTCTCTGTCAAGTGCAGAGGAGAGTCCTGCAGCAAGGCAATATCAGCACAATCCTTGAAAGGGAAGGCCAGCACTCCCCCAGGGTTTAATGCATTCAATTCATGGTCAGGGTATAATGAGAGGGGATTAGGATGGGTGGAGGCTTATGTGGAATATAAAACCAGCACAGACTAGTTGAGCCGAATGGCTTGTTTCGCTACTATATATAAATCTATGGATCTAGGCTCTGGGTCTCCCATCCTAACATATCCCTAAATCTCATGAAATACAATGGTAAGATACAATTTTAAAGAAAATGAACAAATTTTACTTTCTGAAGTCGAGCCCTATAGTCAAAAGCACATCACTTCAAAATGCAGGTAGTTTAACTTGATTTGCTTTAAATCCAGGAAGGATATTAAGCTGGCTTCTGAGCAGCAAATAATAATCAAAGGTTCACAGTATCACTAATCACTTTGATGCATTTAATCATCTTAAATTAAATTTTCTGTCACAAACTTCATCCCAATTGAATTCTCTGGAGATTGTTACATAACCCTGGACATAAATGGTCTGTAGAAAAGGCTGCTTACTGCACGTATATGCTTCTCGAGTCCAGGATGGTCAGGGATGGTGCATCGACGTGAGAAGGTGGCAGCTGTGCTGTGAGCAAGGTGACCCGGGAACTGTTTGTACAGCCAACGACTGTGCATGCTTCAAGCACAAAGCGGTGCGGGGTGTAGGCTGCTAACCCTGCAGGATGAGAAGATTCATATTCAGTTTTCCATTAGTAATTAAGATTCCTTAAACACTTTAAATGTCGTCATTACTCTCGTATTCTGATCAATTGTCATAATTTCCTTAAAAATGTTTAATAATGTTTCATATACAGGTGTTTTCTACTTGGTGAAGTTTATCGACCAAAGTTGCACTTTGACTGCACACAAAGCCTTTGATGAAGGTACAATGAAAATAACCTTTATTAAATAGAGCTGTTATCCTATTATGTTTTGACATTTTTGCACAGTTTATTTATCTCTTCTGCTCCCACCAACACCTCCCCCCCGAAAAAAAATTTTGCATTCTATTCAACATATCCTTCTTTAGCTGGCAGCCAAGTTGTCTTTATACGGCTTTTTCATGGCTTTCAATAGAGAGTATTTAAACAGAGAGCACAGACAGAATCATGGAAAGTTTACATACAAAGAACCACATCAAGTCTGGTGCTGGTTTCCCACTGGTGCTATAACCCAATCCCCTAGTCTTTTCCTCTAGCTGATACTATTTTTCCTCAAGTATTTATCCAATTTATGTTATTGTGAATTTGGCTTCAATACCATTTGTGTTGACAACCCTTTATGTAAAATAAAAATCTGCAAATCTCCTCCTTTTTCCCACCAATATCAACCAGGAAACTACCATGATGTCATTAAGGAGGCCAAACAGAATGAGAGATCATAATTAATCTACATAGTTGAAATGAAATGATGACTTGAGGACCACAAATTTACTAAACTTGGGGATCTTGATATTATCATGAGAAATTTCAATATAAACCCACACCACTAAATTTGGTAAAATAACTCACGAGAGATATATAATCCACCTTCCTTCCCAGGATCTCCAAATATAACCAGTTCCTACACCAGATTATAATTAAGTAAATGATTGTAACACTTTTTAAGCACTTTTTAGCTCCTGAGTGCTCAGAACCATTTAAACGAAAAATAATTGTTGCATTTTTATATAGCACCTAATCATGCTGCGGAGACGTCTCAAAGCACTTCGCAGGATTTACTGTAAAGTGTGTGGTCTTGTATTTTGTAGACCAAAGTCAGTTTGCATACAGCAATGTCCCTACAATGTGCCATGAATTGAATGACCAATTTTATGTTCTTGTACACATATATCAAAAGAACTTCAGTGAATGGAGCCAGGAGAGACAATAAACAGGACTATACATGCAAAGGCAACAGCTAATTAGCAACAGGATCATTTTGATTTAATAGTAAAATAAATTATATAAAACGCAAGCAAGCATGCAACAGATTGATTTGAGCTCCGGACACTACCTTGCATGAAAGGCACTATATAAGTGCAAGAGGTTGTTGTTGAATTCCACACATTTAAGTTACTTATGGTACTAAGCTCAACATTACAAAATGCTGCACATTAGATTTTGTTTTGGAAGCTATGTAAAATGTGTGTTTTTCTATAGCTTCTGTTGGCAGTGGAATTATTACATTGAACATTACAGCACGGAAACAAGCCATTCAGCCCAACTAGTCCATGCCAGTGTTATGAGCCCCCAACCCTCCTAATCCCATCTCCGATATCACTCCATTGCCCTTATGAATAACCATGAATAATGCATGTTATTTCAGAATACATGGTATATCAAAAAGTTCTACAGTGGGAGAGGCAAAATGGAAAGATTGTCTTTCGTGTGCCATTTGCTAACACGAGCAAACTTTTCGATCTGATCTTATAATGGGATTTTGCATTATAAGTGTGGGCCTGCATGGTGTTTTTATGATCAGAGTTTTGGAAACTGTGTCTTTGCATAAAGGTCAAACATCAAGAAAAAAAAGCCACAGCGCTGCCTACTTATCTCAGCATGTCAAAAATGTGACAATAATTTGTTAAATATATCTACCTTTTGTCTTGAAAAGTATCAGAAATGCCTATTCACAAAATAATGAATATTTCTTTCACAGGGACTATTGTACATTTGAGTAAGCTGATGTTATTAGGTTTGGGCATTAGCTGAATCTCATTCCTATGATTTTGTTAAGAGCTGGAGAAATAAGCACATCTTTGCCTTGGTGTGCATGTCTTGAGGCACTTATGACTGTGTGGTGGATGGGATAAAAGGTTCATTGATACATTTACAACATGACAATGTTGTATTGTAATGCTGACACTGTCCTTAACAGGATCACTTCATTCTTAAAGAAACAAACGAAAGTAATTTTCCCAATACTCCTAAATTTTAATTCAATCTAGCAGAATTAAAAAGAGAAAGACTATTGGATCAAAAGCTTTCTGAGATATTAAACAGAACAAAGTGGACATTTATTAACCACTGTGTGAGGAAAACGGTCAAGAAAATTAAATACTTTTAACATGTTTTAAAAATGAGGTTTTAGGATACGTGTGGCTTATGCAGTTTCCAAAGACGTGTGTTAATCAAAACTTGACTGAACCAGTATTCTTTCTACAAAGACATATTTTAAATGTCTGTTGTATTACTAAGTGGCCCATTTAAAACCATAAAAATATCAAATGTAACCTAATCTAAAATATTTAACTATTCATTGATAATATAAATCATATCTTGCATATATTTTATTTATAATTTAGCAATTTTCTCATTCTTATAATTAATATTAGGTGAAGCAACTAATTTTAAAAATTACGGATTTTTTGTGTGGTACTTAAATAATTCCTATTTAGTTTTGCTGAACATTAAAAAACAAAAGCACACAATTAAGAAAAAATGTGGGAATTTTTTGTTCACAAGTAACTAAAGTTGAAAGCCTTACATATTTTGAAATATGTGTTTCAACTCGGTTTAGCAAAATGCCTTATTTGTCATACACAAAAGTATTTAAAATAGTACACATACGATAATCCTTCCTGCAACAAAAGAATACGTACACACCAATATATTACTTACAAGTCTGTTATTTCCACTTCCTATGCTATTGAATTTATTTCTCCTGAGGGCTATACCGACACCCTTCTAAGATTTTTTAAAAATACTACGGAAGTCAAAGTGCTCCATAAATGGAAGTTGTTGTTGTTGACATTAGTAGGGTTCCATATCATATTTAATGTTTATTTATTCTGTAGCTAGACTGAAATTCTCTCTACGATCCCATGTCTTATTCAATTGTAAATTGTATTGTCTTATCCAATTCGCATTGATCCCTAAATTTCTTGCATGTAGATTCAGCGTCTTGACTGCAAATCCCAGCCCAATTTGTTCTGTCTTATGGTGATGATTTATTGTCAAGAATGGCTTTTCAGAATTCCTGCTTTGGAATCTGTGGTTTCACGATGTGCAAGAATATTCTGCTTGTGGAGGAGCACCCATTGCCCTCCCTACAATTCCAACATGTACCAGATGCACTAATCCCCATCAACCCCAGTCTGGTAAGTAATATACCTGATTAAGAGTCTTAAAATGGATTAATTGTATCTTGCACTTGGGAGATACTCGTTTGTGCTCATTCCTTACTGTATTCCGTGAGACGTAAATTCACAGATCTCATCACCAAAGACAATGAACACCTGCCAAGATGACAATCTCTTTATCAGATGTGAATTGAGAGATCTAGGAGACAGGTTCAAACACAATACATGTGATCTCTTAACAGAGCAAAAAATATTTACTGTGAATTCTTTCTTTTTCTCTTTACGTGTTATACCCTTCTCACTCCAGTATAAGACACTGAGCCTTATTACCCGCTACTTACATGTTGTAATTATTCCAGAACAGTAATCTCATTAACTTTTTTAAAATGTTGTCCATTTTTTGTTGCAGCTCTAATAGACCAAGGCTGTCATCTGACCTAACCCGCATGTAGATTGTAACTGTTAGCACCGACTGTCGAAGTACAGTAGAAGTTTGGTAGCACTCTCGCATCCAAATGAGAAAGATGGGAGTTCAAGCCCCACATTTGGACTTGGAACTCATATCATTTAAGATGACACTCCATTGCAGTACCAGAGGTATGCTGCATGGTTGTAGGGGTGGGCCTTTGATGAGAAATTAAACCGAGGCCCCAACTCTCCCTATTCAAGTGGACATTAGAGATTCCGTGGCACTGTCCAAAAAGAGAAGGGAGTTTTTTTCCAATGTCTCCCTGGCCAACAATTCCCCAAATAAAATTGGTCATTCACTGCATGGCTGTTTGGGGTAACATTGCAGTTCCCTTTCACTCACAAAACACACAGTCACTCTACTTTACAGGATATTCTGTGAAGCGCTTTGAGATGTCTTCCTGATATGAAAGGCTCTATATCAAGGGTAAAGGTTATTATCCGAAATGCTATTAGACTTTTACCCCACATGAAGGAGCTATAAAATGAACTATTACAGTTACTGTACTGTAACTACATTCCCTTTCAAATTTTACCAATAAACTTCCCCATAAAGACATTCCCTAATTATTCTAAGAGATGTGGTCTATTTTGAGATGCTGAGATAAAATGTTGCCATGTCGCCTATTGAACTGTTGCCTTCCGCCAATTTACGCCAATTTACCAACTATTAACTTCATATCCTCATCCATTTAATAATAATCCTTGCATTTGATATAGCGCTTTTCACGTCAGGAGGACGTCCCAAAGCGCTTCACAGAACACACTGTAAAGTGAATTGACTGTATATTTGCTCTTTATTTCACCATCCTCCCATGATGGGGTAGAGGATCAAAGAGATTCAGATACCTCGATTGAATCCATGCTACTGGGTGACATATATCTCATACTAAATCAGTTTTCTAGATCACTGTTTTGATTACACTCAATTATACATATCTATCTCTCATACGTTTTATTGCTGGAAATCTATGTACTTTACCAGTATATTATCTCTGTTTTAATCTTATTCATAATGAACAATGTTTTGTCTTTTTCCTAACACCTTTAGTATGACACAGTCGTCACAAAGTCATTGAAGCAGCTCACAAGCCCTTTCTTCTTGCAGAAGAACATACATAGCATATCACCAGGGAAAGAATAGCATTTCTTATTTGAAACTTTAGTTCCGTTTTACTGCATGAAATCTCCTTTAGTCTTCCTAGCTTATCACTCCTTCAGCTTGTTTTGATTCCCAATACCCGCTAATCCATTTGAGGAGAAGTAAACAATTGGGACTGTCTGTCCATCTTTCCCAAGATACATTTTAATGGGTAGTATAAATGACACATTAGCTCAGCAGCCTGGAGATCCTTTTCACTGCAGGAAGCCTTGGTGATCCCAGGTGAAAAAAACAGCATTCATTTAGATTTTGATACCACTAAGTACAAGAGAGCTTTTATCCCTGGCCACTCGGATGATCGACTTCATCTGGAAATCTGAGGAATGTAACAATTAAAATCCTCAGGCACTTGAGTTTCTAGAAGGTGCTGTTCTGTATGCTCTGCTGGTTTTGACAGCAGCAAACTACTTTTTTTCAACCCAGTATTTTTGCATTGAAAGCTCACTCATTGGGCCTTCAGCTCCCCTAGGAAAAACATTCAGATCTACATTATTATGGCCTGAACGATCTCCGCTGCCTTCTCACTAGTTTTCTATTTACTTTAAAATATTCCCCACCATTTTTATCTGCAGCCCCTGAATATCACTGTGATCTGCTGTAATGGACCGTTCAGCTGCTAGTCACTGGTCAGTGCTAGTCTGTATTGAGTTAGCCTTAATTGTCAGGGCCTGAGTGGAAGTTGGTATTGTCCTTAGTTGAATCAGCCAGGGATCATTACCATTTTGTGCAGGGTAAGTAGCTTTGGGCAGTGTAGCTAATTATTCAAGTCAGAGATTTGTGTGGAATGCTTAAAGCTCTCCGAGACACTACCCAGCATGAAGTACGTTATATAAATGCACGTTGTTGTTGAATCTGTTTGATAGTTAAAGATAGTTTGTTTTACCTGTTTGTATTGCAGTTTAAATGGATGAAAAGCATCAGGAGAGCTCGCAGCAGTGAAGCACTCACTCTGACATGGCCACATGCCCCTCCTCCCCACCCAGTTCCTGCCTGCAAACAACAATTTAGTCCTTTCCCAATATACAATAACAGTCCTTTGGACCTTCTATCAGGTTAGATATTAGCTTGATGACTTCCTGCAATATGGTTTGTGACAATCTATTCCCATCCTATTAATGGTAACAAGGCAATCTTCAGCATTCTAAGGATTATATTATTTGCATAAGATCAAGCATCCAGGACAAGAAAAACAGATCGCTGTAGATGCATTAGAAATGGATCAACAAACATTATCTGAAGATGTGTTACAAGAAATTACATCTGCTGCGTGGGAGCCTACCCGATTACTGTCAAACAAGCTATAATTTACAATAAGAGCTATAAATGATGCACTATTTTCCAATTGATTTCCTGCTATTGTTGGGGAACTTCATTGATCTTATTTTATGAAATAAACAGATGAACACTAAAAGATTAGAACGATACATAATTTATAGCCATGGTTAAGGATTTTTCTTTCAGATGCTTGCCTGTTAACTGTTGCCTATGCTTATGTGGGATACACAATACACATAATGCGTTACACCTAATAACTTGTCATAATTAGGAAGATGTTTTGCATTCAAAGAAAAATGAAAGGCAGTACTCTCAGCCACTACAAGATATAAAATTGGGTGTAGTGATACATTCTAGGTTATAAAATAATACTAAGTGAACATGGTCATTGCAGGATGTTAGCATGCATGTAGTTTAAAAGATCATGGGCCACATCCTAATTAGTCTTCAGTTATCTTAATGGGGCATATCCAATTGACACTGGATGAGGCATGCCAATGTAAGATGACTGAGGGCTGGGGATCGCATGTTAGTGCTCTATGCCTCACAACAAGAACAGATGCAGGTTCTGGGGGCTTGCAATGCTTAATACCTTATCTGCGCTGCATCAAGCAGGGTGGTGCTGAGTGAAGTCTGTAGCTTTGGTGTTAAAAGAATTTGTTTTTCCAGTGTAGGGAAGGAGATGAAAATGGAGAAGAAAGTCACATGCGGAGTATCTCTGGAGTCTCTCGATGGGCACTACCAGACCATGGCTTTTGCCTCAGTCTCAGTGCTAAAGAGATTGTGCACCTAAATCGGAATAGGATTCGCCCACTCCATTATATGATGAAACTTGGCTCACAAGATGCAAAAACTGAATTTCTCACACAAAAAAAAATAATAATAATATGCTCACTCAATCCACGACTGCTTGTGGGATACTGCTGTGTGCAATTGACTGCTGCGTTTCGCCCACAAAACATACAGTAAATTTACTTTACAGTATATTCTGTGAAGAGTTTTGAGATGTCTCAAAGACGTTACAAGGCACTATATCAAATGCAAGGCTTATTATTATTATTTTGAAATTCGGTGCAAGAAAATTAGTGAACATTTTCCCCCCACGATCACACATAATAGGTCATTTCATCTCTCAGTACTAATGCTGAAATACTAAAGCTTACCAGTCACGTTGAATGTTTGTTTGTGTCCTGTGTAGATCAGGCGATCCTCTTTGAACAGAGAATAATGGGTGATAATACCATTTGGTTGTTCTGGCAAAGGCCATGACACCAGTAATGAATTAGACAAAGCAACAGCAGATGGAGTCCGAACATCTTCAGGAGCTACAAAAGAAAAATCATATTAGTTTATTACAGTTAAGGAGAGATCTGTTTGGTGTGCTTTTTGTTTTAAAATCAAATTCACTGAATTGTCTCAATTGAAAGCTGCTCAATATAGGTAATAGTCATTCACTTCAGGAATGTTATGGGAATTCCTAGACACAAATTGGCTGACAGGTTTGCCTACAAATACACTGTCTCTACACTTTACAGTAAATCCTGTGAAGTGCTTTGAGACATCTTCCCGACATGAAAGGCACTTTGTCAAATGCAAGGGAAGTTTTAAGGTGTTTCTATCTTTGTAAATATAATAATGTTGTAATATGATTCACAAGTAATGGCGATTTCAGAAGACTCTTTTCCAAATATATTTGCTACATCATTTGGCGCAAACACTTGGAACTCCAACTGCCTCCTAAACATGAAGCACTAGTGAAAGGCACTGACATGTACACAATGCAGGATACCAAATTGATGTGCTCACACATACATGATAGTACTCTGGATTTTGGGGGAAATAAAAGAGCTTCCATTGTGCATGCCATATTGTGATTCAGCACTCTCGCCTCCAGGTCAGAAGGTTGTGGGTTCAAGCTCCACATCAGAACTTGAACTTAAATAGTCTAAGATGACATTCCAAAGCAGTGTTGGTGGTGGGGGTGGGGAGCGTGTTGTATTGTCAAAGATGCCATCTTTCAGATGAGATGTTAAACCCGTTTGTCTGTTAAAGATCCCATGGCACTATTAGAAAATAGAAGGGAGTTTCTTTTGATGTCCTGGACAACAATCCCCCAAAATAGAATTTGTGATTCATTTCACGGCTGTTTGTGGGATATTGTTGCAAGCAACTGAGCTGCCGGATTCGCCTACAAGTACACAGCTACTCCACGTCACAGTAGATCCTATGAAGTGCTTTGGGATGTCCTCCCAAAGTGAAAGGTGCAATACCAAATGCAAGGTTTGTAATTAGTATCATTATATAACCTGACTCCATCTGTTATAGCTATCTACTGATGAAGGTACATCCTGAGTAAACTCAATTGGTAGACATAAACTTTGGAAGATTCTGTTTTTGACTCCTGGGGTGGTCTAGTCAGCCCTTCCTCCAGTTGCCAATGATTACATGAGTAACGTGTTTAAACAAAATCCTAAAGGGGGAAAGGGTAAGAGTGTATGCTGGAAGTTGAACTAGGCATGGAGAAAACTCTCTTGGCAAATCCAGGCAGATCTTCAGTAATCCAAGGCATTGCGGAGGATTGTAAGCACGTTTGATTTATCAATGAGTCTCCGGAGATATAGACCTGTTCTCAGCTCTGCAATCCTAACAGGCAGTGCTGGGCAAGCCCTGTGAATGCTATAAGTACTCTCTGCCATGTGGTTGCCATTGCATATCTATTCACTGACGCGAGTCTATCAGTGTAAGGGGTGAGACTTGCACAAGTAGGTTGCCTTGAATATACATCATGACACTGTGACATTTTGTTACCTGTTTAACATTTTAATAGCTGTTTGAGCAGAGCTGACACAGCGATGCTGCACTGCCAGATCATGACCATGACCTTCCCTAAATCTCAGTGGAGATGTTGCACCCAAATCGGTGTGGGATTCGGCAGGTCTATACTATGACTTAAACACAGCTTGTTGGCTGGATGCCAACAAAGTTGCTCATATGATGCAAAAGAAAACTAGCTTGAATGGTAAATAATCTTTTAATCTGACTTTTTAGTTGAGCTATCCCTTAAAGCATGGCTTATTTTGTCAGTCCATCAATTAACTTAACGGGCACAAATTAGATTTTTGAATTTTCATCTGTTTTCCACATGCAAAACATTTAGACCTCAGATCTACCAGCAAACTAATTAACAATGTGAAATGTATTTATTTTTAAAAAATAACCAATATTGTTATTTGATGCATTGATGCATTCTTAAATATAAAATAGATAGTGCTTCCAACAAGCATAATTGTAATAATGTCAATAACACATCTGTAGTGTGAGGACTATAATACCAGAATACAAACATCAAATGGCATCACTATATCTTTCAACACAGAAACTCTGGCAATGATGGATACGCTACATGCCCCAGGTCAGAATTTACTTACCTAAGTCAAGTTCGAATGTCAATATCAGACTCTGCATATCATACAATTCCAGCACTTCATGAAAAAAAATCAATAGCCTTTGCTGTAGGTGAGCAGTTAGCATGCAGTTTGTACTACTTCATGGTCCTATTAATGTCAATCTTGCTATACGTTTTCAAACAAGTGGTCTGGTTCAGACAAACATTCAGCGATCAGTAAAATGTGTATAAAAATACGATAAGAGTAAATGATCAATCCAGAACAGGAATATAAATGTTTTAAGGGATTTTCGTCACCCAAGGATCCTTTTACAAATAAACCACATTACAGTACAGATTATTGCAGTTCATTCTCATTTAAAATAATACAATTAGCTTGGGTGTGATTGTGAAATGCAATGGGTGTCACTTCAGTTGCCTTACAGGACTGCATATAAGGAAATATGTAGTCTCAACCTCCATGGTGCTGTCTTTGATTGGTTCAGATCGTACTTCTCGCACCTCCTGCACTTCATCTCCTCAAACGGCTTCTCCTCTAACACCTAGACCATCTTGTGCGATGTTCCTCAGGGCTCTGTCCTTGGTCCCCTTCTCTTCAACATCTATATGCTCCCTCTTGGTGACATCATCCACAGACATGGGGTCAACTTCCACATGTATGCGGATGACACCCAACTTTATCTTTCTGTCTCCACCCTTGATTCCAGGACCACCGCTGTCCTGACAGAATGTCTGTCGGACATCAAGTCCTGGATGAGAGCTAACCTTCTTCAGTTGAACGTCAACAAGCCTGAGGCTCTCTGATTGGCTCCCGTCAGCGCCTCCTCATCTCAGGCGCTGACAGCATCACCATCCACGGTTGCACACTCCACCTTACTAAGCCAGTCCGGAACCTTGGGGTCTTGTTTGATCCTCAACTATCCTTTCTACCCCACATCTGCCTTCCCCCACCTCAGCAATGTCACCCGGCTCCACCACTGTCTCACATCGCAGGCCGCTAAAACTCTCATACATGCTTTCATTGCATCGAGGCTCGACTATGCAAACTCACTGCTTGTCGGCCTCTCCAACTCCTCCCTCCACAGGCTGTAGATCATCCAGAACTCTGCAGCCCATGTCCTCTCCCGCACCAGGGTCCGTGACCCTATCATCCCCATCCTTGGCCAACTCCACTGGCTTCCCATCACACAGAGGATACTGTTCAAGATCCTGGTCCATGCCTTCAAACCCCTCCACGGTCTTGCTCCTCCCTACCTCTCTGATCTCTTAACCCCCACCACCCTGTCCGCTCCCTCCGCTCCGGGCCTGCTTCACGTTCCCCGCCTTGCTCGCCCCACTATCGGTGGGCGGGCCTTCCGCCACTCTGCACCCACTCTCTGGAACTCCATCCTGCAGTCCCTCCGTCTCGCCCCTCCCTCACCACCTTCAAGACTCATCTCATGACCCTCCTCTTCGGCCGTGCTTTCGATCTCCCTGCTTCACCCCCTGCCCTCCCCACTCCCCCACTCCGACCCTCAGCTCCGTAACTCTGACTGTCCAGTGCCTTGGGACGCCCTCCCGACGTGAAAGGCGCTATACAAATGTAATTTTGTTGTTGTTGTTGCTGTCGTCTTTGATTTGCTCATTATCACATCATGGAGCCATGTTTGTATATGTATATCCTCTCACCTGTGTATATCCTCTCGTCTGTGTGTTGCTACAGTGGAAATGTAGTTTGTCACATTAAACCAACACTGTTGAGACTGGATTAGTTAATAGAAAACATCAGCAATCTTGTTGTTTAATACAAGTTGAACAACAATCAAATTAACTTTCCTTCTGGAGCTTCTAAAGCAGCTTTCCTTTCTTTTAAACTGTCCTGGAACGAATAATATCATAATCTATCGTGCTTATAGTGTATTTCGGATATTAATTACTCTGGGATTTGAACAACAACTACAAAGGTGCAAGCTGATTTTATTTTAACCACAGAACCAATCTGCTTCTTAAAAGTCACTCCTTAAATATATGATTGTTTTTATGTTAAATATGTGCTGGTCTTAAAAGTGAAGCAATAAATACATCTGCAATGACTCTTGCATTTAATAAATGTGTTGGTCTGAATGACAAACATCTGTTGTGTAAAGAACAAGTTACACCCAAAATCATATCCTTTGCATTAGTTGTTAATTATGTAATTCCTGCTGTACACATGTGTTTACACATGGTGAATAGCACAGCTGCGTTTATGCATGATTTACACACGGTACAGAATATACCTAGTGTTTACCTAAATGAAATAATCTATGCAGAAAATCATTTAGGTTTATCCCTTATAATAATGATAATCCTAGCATTTGATGTAGCACATTTCACGTCAAGAGGGCATCTCAAAGTGCTTTGTATGATTCACTATCAAGTGTAGTTACTGAGCACTTTGTAGGCGAATGTGGCAGCCAATTTGCGCAGGACAATGTCCCACAACAGCCGTGAATTACAGGTGCCTTATTCCTAACTTCCAGTTTAAACTTAAGAAGAAACTGAGACAACTTGGAGATAGTGAGTCAAAATGTCCTGAAAATATTTCCACATAACTAAAAACAGGAAATAGGAAGAAACCCAATTCATCATAGATGGTGAGTGCTCAGTGCTTAAAAACGCAGTATCTGGAAATTAGTTATACATTTTAACTGGATTTTTCTATCTGTGTAATTATTTCATGACTCTTTTTTAATGTGTATATATTTTTTCTAACCCTATAATGATAACAAAGAGGATCAAAGTGAACTGACTGTAAGCACTGCAACTGTTTCAACCATGCCACAAACTGAGCAGCTATGCTAGTTGTTTTACATTAAGTTTGTAAAGCATCACAACTACTACTTTAATTCAGATAAACAAAGAGTTTTGAGTATTTTAATGCTAGCTCTTTCTAGTTCATTATTTTCTTCCTCATTTAACTTCCAGTTAAATCTCATGTACAGTTTCACTTAGCTACTCGAGGAACAGTAACCAAATTAGATTATTTAAAAAAAATGATAATTACTCCTCCATACTCCCGCAGAGCAAATCTATTATATGTTTCCGTACAAGAATCTGTTCCTTGGCACTAAAAGTTCCACGTCATTTGCACTTTTGAATGAAATTTATATGGTTGGGGTTGTGGTCTGAACTGTCTTCTGGGATATGCAGCACATCAGAGTCTATGTTTAGACTTCATGGCAAAATCGAAATCTATCTAGAAAAATAACTTTGACAGCCGAATAATGATCTTGAAGGTTAAATAATAATGTACAAACTATTGTGATAAACTTGAATGTACTAAAAAAAAGCTTAGCAAAAAAAACTTTGCCAGTTTAATAAGCTCATGGAAATCGAGCATTTGATTTCCAGTTTTATACTTTGCCATACAATCAATTCTTTTTAGTCAGACTGTCTCTAGATTTACTTCTCTGCTGTAGTAAAATGAAGAAGCTTTCATTAATCTTTCAGATGCCTCATATTAACGACGAGGCTCTTGCATGAACAATGTAACAGCAATTAAAAAGCCCATTAATCTGCATTACAGCTATTAAAGATGCATGTCATTAAAGGGTATCGAGTTTGATTCATTTTCCCCAAAAAAATCGAGCAATTATGGTCTGGCAATGTACTTTGTCATCAAATTAGGTTGGAGTTTTTTTCCCCAGCAAATGGCTTTTCAATTCTTTAGTTCTTCACCTATTTTATTATTCATCATTGAAATCTGGTGGATAAAACCTTCTAAAATGCTCTACCTTCTTCTGGGGTAGTGATGTTTCTTGCACGTGCACTTTCAGCACAGCCAGCCTTCGTGCAGATAGTCATGGTTAAACTGTAATTTGTAAAAGGGATCAAGCCAGTCAAGTTTCCTGTAACAGGAACAAACAAGAATTGGCAAGTGTAAATTACCTTATTACACAGAAATAACAGTTTGAAACAATCAAATTAAAACCATTAAGTGCACAGCCGAGGTGACTGCATCACACAGACATTTGTGTAGTTTGTGAAGCCACACCGGGCTGGACTCCTTGGCCAACATCCACTCTGTAATCTGTTCCTCTTCATTATGTTAATCTGTGGGCGGAAAGACTCGTCATCTTCGAGTAGCCCATTCAGCAACAGTAAACACCTTGTCCTGTGTGTAATTGGACAGGTGTCTATATCTGTGTCACCCAGCCTTCACTCCAATTAAGGCACAGCCTGCAATGCACTCATTACCCACTCATTTTCTTGCTTATTTCATCCGTCTGTAACATTTACCTGCTAGAGCATGGATGTCGGTAAAGTCGGCCCTGATGGGGGGCGTGCTGGGACTGTCCTCATTGTATGCTTTCAAAATGCACTTCTCAATTACACCTCTGACCTCAGCAGGCTCGTCCCAGCTCACCTCAACTCTGTAACCATTTATACTGTGAAACCTTGAGGGAGTCGGCACACTTTGTGGAACTGGGAAAAGAGAAATAAGAGCTGGGTAGAAAGCAGCAAACCCACGCAAAAACACCACACATCAGTCATTATTAAAAACTGCAGTGAATCAAGTGTAAAAATGAACCAAAGTATAATTCAAAATTTGCAACTTCCCAACTCTGATTAAAATTGAGATCCTTGATTTATTTCCCAAACATTCTTTGATTCATTTAAATAGTCATTTTCATAAAATGTACTGCTTAGTTATTTCAATTACACTCTGAATGAATGATCATGACTTCATGAAAAGAGCACACAGATTTTTAGCAGCAATATATTCTAAGGTGTTTGCTCAAAGTAGCTTGAAATGTATAAAAGGAATTATTGGATACATCAGTCTACAACTGAGAACAACTTGAAGATATTTCTACTTTTAGATGTTTCTAGATATTTCTATATCTTCAAATCCTTTATTGGGTTGCGATGTTTTGTTGATGATCACAGCTAACAACTATGCCTATGAACTTTTGCAGGTAGTATAATGGTTAAGACAACAACAAGATTACATTTGTATAGCGCCTTTCATGCCGGGAGGATGGCGCTGGACAGTGTACAGCATTTCATACCCGAGCTGGGGTCGAGGGGGGAGGGGAGGGGAAGGGGGTGGCTGATGGCATGGTCGAAGAGGAGGGTCTTGAGGCAGGACTTGAAGGAGGCTAAGGAGGGGGCGAGGCGGAGTGACTGGGGGATGGAATTCCAAAGGTTGGGGGCAGAGTGGTTTAAGGTTCTCCCACCAATGGTGGGGCGGGTGGGTCGAGGGACGTGGAGCAGGCCAGAGCCGGCTGAGCTGAGGGAACGGGAGGGTTAGTAGGGGGTTAGGAGGACGCAAAGGTAGGGTGGGGCGAGGCCATGGAGGGCTTTGTATGTAACACAAATTTGAAATTTTTTTTTGTAATTGCAGATTCAACCTTCAATACAAGAGAAGTCACAAGTGATGGGTCTTGCCTGATGCTAAAGAGGACTGTTCCTGAAGTGGAGTTTATCCCCATCAATGAAAACCTTCCCACTTTTTCTCTGACCACACCTGATACTGAATGTGCATTGAATAGTACTTTCACTGAACATTATGAAAATCACCGCAACCTTTTTGCATACTTCCTGAACCAAAGTGTGCACAGCAGTGGGTAGCCAAATAGTGGGATGGAAGGAGGAGGAGGAGATGGGGGAGGGGTGGGGGAGAGAGGATTTGTACCCAATCCCAATTGTAAACAGAACATTTTTGCCAGAATTATTTATGTGAGAGAATATAAATAAGTTACAATTTTAGGCATGACTGGACTATCAATTCAGCCTATCCAATTTCCCTCAAAATTCCTTCAATGTATTTGTCTCTAAATCTAATAACCCTGAATTATCTTTGTTGACTGGAACCTGTCAAATGCAGTCCCGCTTCCAAACTCCTTGTCTGTTCCTTGCTCCTGTTCCTTGTTCCTGTTCCTCTTAGTTAAAAAAAATCTCCTGTATTCCTTATTCTCTTTTGCTATCATTATTGTGAGGGTCAGGTTACAATGAATGCCTCAATTAGATGGTGTATATGCAAAGAGAAAGTACCTTCTTTTGTCTTATTGAGTAGTATTACAGTATTACTCATTTCCTACTATGCTTTACTGCTCTGTTTCATAGGCTTAAAGGACTACATAGCCATAAATTCAAGAGATCTACATGTAACTTATCAACATTTTCATTTTCACTCTCGGCCTTGTAAATTCAGGCGCAATTTAAAAATTTTACATTTATAACTTCCACTTGAATAATTCAGAGCATAAGCAGAAAATATTATTTGTTGAAAGGTGAAAGGGAATGCTTTAAGAAAAGCTGATCGAATCCTTGAGGAACAATTGTATATTTGAAGAATGGAAACATTGAACATTAAGCAACAACTGAAAGGTCTCGTCTGAGGTGAAGATAACTTGAAGAGCTAGAGGAGGATAAATGCGATATCAAAAGCACATACTTTCGAGATAACAGACTAAGTTAAATTTAAAGAAAAACACTTTATGCTGATTACACATTTGCTTTTTTATTTGGTGAAAAATAAATTTTGAGTTCATGTATCATTAGTGAAACAAAATTGACAAGAAAACCAGATGGTTAAATTTTTTATTACAGATGACTGTACAAGGTATACAGTAGCAATACCCAAGGAGCTTCATGGCAGGATGATGGATGATTAGTTCAGCAGAAATTTTATACGGACTCACAAGCCACTCTGTGAAGATTGTACAGTTCCCCCAACCGTTGAAATTTGTTTTACTTCTTCAGACTTCAATTGCTTGGAGGCAAATAAGTAAAATAGCATTTTTTAAAAAAGAAGTTCAGATTTCTTATCTACTGTTTAGAACAATAGTTTGAATCCAGCATTCTAAATTACCCCCAAATTAAGCCATTTGATGGAAATCCTAATGAATGACACTTGATTTATTTACATAAATGGAGCACTCTGGGTTCTTGATACATATTAGCCTTTCAAAACCAATTGTGCATTTTATATAATGGAATTTTACATTTATGAAAGGAAACATTTATTTGATTTTAGTTCACACCCATTCGATTTTAGAAAACACTACTTGTACAATTTGCCTGTCATATAAAAACACCATTTAGTTTTTGTAAAAAAAATCTTTTCTCAATTTCAGTTCCATCTGCTTTAGATATGCTGCAACTGGGGGAGGCGAGGAAAAATTGTAGCATTTTGAGATCAGATCATATGCCATGGACATCTGTGCAAATACTTCAAAGGGGATTGTGTGACTCAAGGTTCCCTATTTCTATGGCAACAACTCAGGGTTTAATCCAATGTCAAACTAGTTCAGGTTGTGTGGAGTTGGGATTAAACCCTCATATTCCTGCAGGTCTACAATGTTCTTCAATTTCAGCCTGCTAGCTACTGTGAAAAATCTTCACTGAGCACAGCTCAACGTATTGCTAGCATCCACTCACACTGATTTAAGTTCTTGATTGCTCCCTTCCAGTTGGAAGGTAACAGATGCACTGACATTTCTGGTCTGCATCATAATTCAAATCTCACTCAAGAACCCACCCCCACCCCACTTATATAACAACCCTGGGAAACATAATAATCCTAGCATTTGATATAGCACCTTAACAGGTCTTAGAGACGTCTCAAAGCTCTTCACAGAATATACTGTAAATTTTGTCTCCTTGCTCTTGCCCATTTTTCATTCAAGCATATGCACTGTGAGTTGCTTGAAGCATAGATCTCTTGTGAACCACTTTATATGGGAAGGAATACAAGAACAAACAGGAATCGCCACTCCAGTGTCCTAACAACCTCCAGTTCACCTCATGTGACTCGCAGGTGTTGAGATATATCCTGTTAGGGTAAATGATGTTATCACACTTCAGTCTGATATCAAATTTATTGCGTGGTGTGATAACATTGTGACCAGAACTACTTCTGCCATCCTAGTACCGCAGTAAATCTGCCATATTTAGGTGCTTTATGACAGGACTGTCTGCTGTACAGAGTGGAAATTTTGAGAGCAGCTTTTCTCCCTGTACAGCAGTTGACAGCGAAGTTGAAGAGATATTTATATATTTTTCGTCTCTTTCCATTGAGTTATGGAGCTAAATATTCATACGCTTCCCTGACTCGCTGATGAAAGAAGCAGTAATTGGGGTCAAAGCAGCCTGTGAATTTAATACTTAATACCCACTTTGGGGATTTTTAAGATGGAAGCCAGTCATGTCCAGAGAGGTTAGAGGCAGCTCATGTGCATAACAGAAAGTCTTGAAACGATGTCTGTATTTGCGATAATTCACCACCATCCTAAAACAGTTCTTTCCACACAAAAAAAATACTTTCCAAACTTTACAAATAGAATTAAATATTTGGATACTTTTTAATAATACAATTTAACAGAATTGACAAGAAGGCCTTTCTAATTTATTCATAAATATCAGTTTTCAAAATCTTCACTTTTAGAGAAACTATTTTTACCTGTTCTCCCCCAGCCCATCACTTCAGTCCTGATGAAGGGTCATGCACTCATCCATATCTCTATCAGTAAGAATAGCTGGGGGATGGGGGAGAATAGAACCAGAAACCCATTCCGTGTGATTTTTTTGGATTTGATTTAATTTATGTAACATAATCTATCTGTTATCATTTAACCAGGCTTGTAGGTGTTAGCCATTTTGACCATGTTATTAATTAGTTAGATTAATTATTAATTAATTAGTTAGCTAAACTACAAGCAGTTGTGCAGGATATAGTATATACTGTAACTGCACAAGACAAATCCCTGACTGTCCAGCGCCTTGGGATATCCTTCCGACATGAAAGGAATTATACAAATGTAATTTGTTGTTGTTCTTTGTGGAGTATTTAAGCTCCAGTGTTTATACAGATAAATACATATTGATACTCACATAGACAGACTGACAATGTGTGTGTTTATGTGTATGTGTTGAAAGACAGTTTCTTAATGCAGTGAGGATTATTTGATCAAGCACATCGCCATTTCATATCTTATTTATGAAGAATTATTTCAGGACATTTCAACTCATTGGTCTGAGTCCTTCTTTCGATTCTTACCAACTCCAATTAAACTGTGGGAAAAAGACGTTGCATCCATATGAAGCATGCCTTTGGGAATGTCAAGATGGTAGAGGAATCAGCAGCACTCTGCTGAATAAGCAGCAAGGTAAGGAATGCTTTGACATGTCTCTATGATGGGCTTAATATCATTCTTTTAAGGAAAATATTAGGATAAGTGAAACGGACATAATCATAGTTCTTGGTAGCCAATGATGTCTAAATGGTGATATTGACAAACAGGACATCGCTGCGCTAACATCCCCTTCTGTCTTGCAGCTCAAATTCTCTGATCCCAAGTTTGCTTCTACACAAGGATTCTCAGTCACCACACAACCTCGAGGTGCCCGTGGACACATAATCCAGTATGATTTGCAAACTGATCTGTCTCTGGATAAATGGGATTATAGGATTAATGGTATTTGCAACTATTAAAACCTGGCCATGTTTTTTTTCACAAAAGGGGCCTTTTTTTCTGTGAATTTGCCTTTCCTGCTTGTTTTGGGCATTTTCTGATTACCTGATCAGTGAGCCTCACCTTTGTCTCTCAGCTGCCGTTAGCTGGTCTCGCAATGCTTGCTGCGAGACATGGAGATTCTGGTTGAGTCAGTGCCTCACTTGCCTCACCTCATGAGCTGCCGCTTGTCCTGATAGTAGTATTAGTGCATTAGGTAAGAATCCAAAGTGTTAAAAGCTGTGACATAAATATATACTGACGACTCAATAGTCATCTGAAGTGACCTTACTGTTGACAGGTAAAGTAAAGCCATTTATCCTCCACCCTCATGTTCTGGATGGCTAGCGATACAATCAAATCAGGAGAGCTCACTTTTGTCTCATTTGACGCACTAATTTAAAGCCATTAGAGTATGAAATTTTCCCCAGGGGGTGGGGAGGAATTATAGATTTATGGATTAATAGGAGCAAAGAAAAAAAATTGGTCCAGTTGGAGATACACGCTATCTACTGCCTGAAACTAAAACCCGCTTCTTACATCTTGCAACATAATAATGCCTTTGGCTCAGTGGTTAGAACACTCGCCTTGCAAGCGAGAGACCTGTGTTTGATTCCCGGCAGGGTGAGATGTTGGGCAACTTTCCTTACTCCACACGCCTCTGTTTGCCTAGCAGTAAGTAGAAACTCAATCGATTGTTAATCGATTGGCGGATTGCTTTTCAGGGGGTAATAATTCCTTCAAAAATAAAAAAAATTTGGGTCACTTCAATTCACGACTGTTTGTGGGACACCGCTGTATGCAATTGGCTGCCACGTTTCGCCCACAAAATGTACAGTCAATTCACTTTACAGTATATTCGGTGAAGCGTTTTGAGATGTCTCGAAGACATGATAAGGCACTATATCAAACGCAAAGATTATAAGGTCTTGCAGGATTGACCAATAGGTCTCTCTCATGGTACTGAAAAAGGCAAGAGTTCAGTTGAATCACATCAAAGACTATAGTCCTCAATCATACTCTCCAGAATTCACCATTCTAAATAAATAGCAGTCTATTGGGACAGGTATATGATCAGTCTTCATTCATTTGACTGCAGCATACACACGAGTGCCATGCAATGAAAGACACTGCTCTTGCTAAGCAAAGACCTGTGATTGGCCAAAAAAAATGAATTCCAGGAATCGATTTCTGACTTCTTAACTCCAGACCTTCTCAAAAACCTACTATTCCTATTTGGATTCTATGGTGAGGTATTTAGAGGCTTGTCTGAATTCCTGCACATTTTCTACAGTTTTAGCAAAACATCAATTCTATGGGTTACCTGCAGCGAAGGATTGAAGGAAGAATGCAAAGGTTTTCAATCTGAACAACACTCAGGATCAAAATAATATGAATAATAGTGTCTCACAGTGGTGAAACCACAATGTATTTATGATAAAAGAGACAAAGAGAAAAAAGAGCCATGTCACTGTGGCAGTCTGAATTAATCACGGCACCGTACTCATCCCTAAGCTGCTGCCATTTGTTCAATCGTATCTTCCTTTTAACCTTCTATTTTATTAGTTGGCATTTATGAAGACCAGAAACATATTTCTAGTCGATTTTATGTATGTGAGAATGATGTTTAGTGAACTGAATTGTACTCAAGTACCATAGCTTTTCAGTGGTGTTTTTGAGGGTAATGATCACCTGGAGAGCATTACCAAGTCAAGGGTGAAGCCAGAATACTACTCATTTAATAAACAGTTTCACGCTGCAATGGAAAGGGTTGGTATTCTAGAAGTTATCAAACGAACCAAAGGGGCTTCTTCACCTGAATGTTTGGCAATCATAATCCACTGTGATATTACTAGTATAGAAAGTACAGATGGCAAAAATATAAGAACTTTTATTCAAGTCGAGCTACTTTTTTTTAAAATGAACTAAACCTTTTGGTTTTCCAAAAATTAATGCTGGATCCATCACGCGCCAGGAGCTAAAATTAGCAATCTTTCGTTAATTGTTTATGATCCGGGCCAAATGCTCCTCTGTTAAAAATAACTAACAAACCGAAACAGATTCACAAGATTATGAAAAGATGAAACAAATGATTTATTACCTGTTTCTCTTGTACGGCCTCTCTCCCAAGGACCAAATGTTGAGCCTCCTTCATTTGATCCAATGACTCTGTATAAATATTCTTTATTTATATATATATTATATATATATATGTGACAAAAAATACCAATGTCAAAGATTCATTCAAATCAGGGTAAAAACCTTGAAAATTAGCTGAAGTGTTTATTTGAATCAGTAAAAAAAGGCATTTACCTGTAAATGGTTGCAAACCATAATCATACACACTTTGAGCTCTCTCTGTATATACAAGAATGGAGTCATTTCCTCTGCAGTTACCAGGACTGTCAGTTGATAGGCATCCATCCAGATTGACTCTGACAGCAATGGTGGACGCAGCCGCCAAGTTTACGACAGCATCCTTTGTAAATCTAACATCCTTTATACAACCACCGAAACCTGGCAAATAATGAAAGCAATAAACAGGAATGACAGATCTATGATTCTGCTAGTTTCTTCAGAGCCCTTCAGTCTGTTTTTTCTCTCTCTCTCTCTCTTTGCAGTACTGGATAAGTCCAATAGAAAATAATTTGGGAAATAGTTATTATCCTTCATTAGGCTAATAAATATCTCTGCACATTACAAGTAACCTTACATGGCAAATAAGACATATGGATTTTACATTTAACAATTTTGTATCAGACAGTCATTAAGACTATTTATGTGACACCACTGGACATTGTTATATTGATGTAGGTCAAAGCATTAGTGAATTTTTAAAAAAATCTTCAGGCAATAGGTGGACAATTTGCTAATATATCAACATAAATTGATGTTTGCATGATCAACTTTGATAAAAAGGTTGGATATGCATGGTGGCTGTTAAGTGCCTAATATAGTACAATAAACCTACACTCACTGCTAGTTAAAATGATAGTTTCTTATTCTTAAAAGCTGCATCTGGAATCTATGTCAAATTATAAAGATGCAGTGAAAATACCCCACCACCCTATTACTTGGATATATCCACAATTTGGAATTAATTTACAGGCCTTAATAATAATTTCTCAAATGTTTTCAGTTCCTCGTTTCACCGACCGACCGAACTGTGCATGTGTGTGTGTGTATGTATGTATATGTGTGTGTGTGTGTGTGTGTGTATGTATGTATGTATTTGTGTGTCGATCCTGTGGTTAGTATGACGTTGGAAAAATCTCCAATTCTGCAGTTGAGTTTAACTGGTGCAGTCCACATGACTGAAAACCTGGAAGCATTGTGACATTATCTCTGATTCCACAGTGTGTGAACAAGAAATAAAAACTACAGAGAAGGAACAGGAAACTGGGATTTTAATAGTTATCTCCAGTGGAAGAGCTTCCACCAGCATATGCTCAATGGGCCAAATGGCCTCCTCATGCTCCTCATTTGCTGCTGGTATGATTCTTGAACAATAAGGAGTTTTACATTCAAAATTTGTTGCTTTGCAAATTCTTAAAACTTGAGCATGCCGTCAGGGAGACAGTGATCTGAGTCAAGACACTCTTTCACATAGAGAGTTGAAAAGTAGAGAATTTGAAAGCTGGTTATGTGTATTACACCAGCATTCAAGCATAATAGTAAACCTTGCATTTGATATAATACCTTATCACATCTTCGAGACATCTCAAAGCGCTTCACAGAATATACTGTAAAGTGAATTGACTGTATATTTTGTTATACTAGCATACTAGCAATGTCCCCTCTGAATCTTCTGAGTTGGGATTTGAGCTCCTACAGTCAATTAGATACGTTGATGCAGTGCCAGGGTGATGCTGCATTGTTGGAGGTGCTGGCCTTCAGAAGAGATGTTAAACTGAGGTCCTGTCTGCCGGATCAGGTAGGCGTTAAAGATCCAATGACACTACTCAAAAGGAGAAGGCAGTTTCAGCCGGTATACTGGCTGACAATTTCCCAGATAAAATTGTCTCCCCTTTGCCGGACAATGCTGCAATCAAATTGGCTGCTTCAATCACCTACAAAATACATAACCTTTCAAAATGCTTTAGGATCTCCTGTTGAAATCCTAAACAGCAGATCTTAAAGCATTTTGAGAGGTTCTCCGGAAGTGAAAGGAGCTTTAACAAATCCGTTACAATAGACTCTTTTGTAGGTTGCAGCCTCCTTGAAAATAGCATTTAGAGAGAGCTATGGGCAGATCACTTGCATACTAGGGAACATTGTTGCAACAACAAACTTGGAAAATGAGACTTAAAAGTAGGATCAAAATAAAGCTGAATTAGGTAAGAAAAAACACAAGGGAAATTACGAAATAATGTATAATGTGTTTACTGTATATTTATTTGTTCAACCAAATTTGGGTGTTGCAGAAGCACGTTTTTAAATGTGTCAAACATCAGCAAACAATTGATAGAGATTCAACACCATTTGACAAAGTTTTCAAACTATTTTTCAGAATGTCTAAGCATTGTCTGATACTAATAATATTTTCCATTTTTCCTGAGGTTTTATTTTTCCTGAGGTTTTATTTTTTTCATAGCGCCATTTAATTTGTTTAAATAACACAACATTAAAATGTGATAAAATGAAAGATATAAAGTATTATAAAACCAATCAGCAATTAAGAATACATATTATTCATACTGCCCACCTTTGAGCAATATTGCCAGTCATCTACCATAATACCAACAACAACAACTTGCATTTATATACCGGCCTTCATGCCAGGCGGTGTTTTAGAGCGCTAATAATGGTGGAGCCCAAGGCCGAGCTAGGGGGAGGGGGAAGGTGACCATAGGCGCAATCGAAAAGGAAGGTCTTCAGGCCCGACCTGAAGATGTGGAAGGAGGTGGCGAGGCGAAGGGGTTGAGGGAGGGAGTTCCAAAGTTTCGGGACTTAGTGGCTGAAGGCTCAGCCGCCGATGGTGGAGCGGAAGATTTGGGGGACGTAGAGGAGGCTGGACCCAGTAGAACAGAAGCAGCGGGTACTGCTGCAAGGAGAGAGGAGGTTAGAGAGATAGGGAGGTGCCAAGGAATGGAGGGATTTAAACACTATAGTGAGGATCTTGAAGTCGATCCACTCTGTGACAGGGAGCCAGTGGAGTTTGGCAAGGACTGGAGTAATCGGGGATGCGGAGTTTGATGCGGGTGAGAATGTGGACGGTGGAGTTTTGAATGAGCTGGATTTTGTGAATAGTGGAGGAGGGGAGACCGTCGAGGAGGGCGTTAGAGTAGTCCAGCTGAGAGGATCAGTCTTCTCTGTAACGGTCATTTGACTAAAAGAATAAGGATGACAAAAGCAGGTGGCACTAGAAAAGCTGAAAAGGGCCTTTCAAGGAAATAATTAAATCTTTTGTCACAACCAGCGAGCAACCACAGTAGGAAAATTCCAAAAATATTTTTCAGTCCTGAAAACTGACTCGAATGCCATCGTTAAAATATTTAAAATCCCTTAATATTCCATAGGACTTGCATACATTTCCGAAGCAAAGCCTGTAGGATCTGACACACAAATTAAAATGTCTATGAGGCTCTAATTGGATCATAGAGGGAAGTTTTAGACCACACACAAGCCTTAGGGTGGTTCAGTAGCTTTACCAGTTAAGTACGTGATTCCCAATCAGGAAGTGGTGATTTTCAGTCTGAGCTGCCTGTCATTCAAACTTGTTTGCCTCAGTTTAGTGAGTTGTATTCATACAAAGTCAGGCTGTTAGATACACTGCCACTGTTTCATCTCGAGGGAGGACAGCTAAAATTATCTGATTCACTCTGTCCAAATTGTGCCTCTTGCTGACTAGTCAGGAAGAAATCAGCGGACCTTCCTGCCCTCCAAGATAGAATACCAGTTGTGCTGATGGGAAGCATATGAATGGAATAAAATGGGTGGGGAAAAAGTCCTGTGGGGCTTTTTAAGCCTTTTAATAAGAATCCGTATTCAAATAAATTGATTTGGTCAGCTGGGTGCCTGACTTGTGTGGCATGCTCTTGCCATACATAAGAATCTCTGGTTCCAAACACAAAGAAACTCACCACAAATTGTATTTCAATCGCAATTTCTGGAATGTGCATTCATCCCTGAAGGGCCACAACCTGAGGATGCCAATATATCATTGCAAAACAGCATGTTGAGCCAATATTAGAAATTTACTGGCTAAAATTGTGCATTTCAGTGGTGTGAACCATTGGTAATTGTCTTGCTGCTTGGCCAACTAGGATTATCCCAATAATAATTGCATTTGACATCGCACTTTTCATGTCGAAAGGACATCACTAAGCACTTCACAAGATTTATTTCAAAGTACAGTGACTGTGTATTTTGAAGGCAACCACCATGCAGCCCTATCATTAGGGGAGAAAAAATGCAAAATACTGCAGATGTTGGAAATATGAAACAAAAACAGAGATCGCTGGGAACACTCAGTTTGGGGCTGATCCTTCGTCAGGGTCAAGGACCTGAAATGTTGACCCACTTTCCTTTCTCCATAGATGCTGCCTGACCTGCTGAGTGTTCCCAGTGATCTCTGTTTTTGTTACCATTAGGATGTTGGCTTGTATGGTCATCAGGAGCCAGTGGGAAGAATCACGGTCACTATTGAAATGCCTCGTAAAAGTATTACAGTTCTGACTAATTAAAAGAATCCACTGTGATGAGTTGACTAAACTTGATGAATACACAAGGGAGAAGGGAAAGAAGGGATATGGGAGAGGAGATCAGGAGGCAGGGAATATAAACACTGGAGTGAACTAGTTCAGTTGAATGGCCTGTTTAGGTGCTGTAGCGTTCTATATAATTTCATGGAAATCAACAGGCATGTCATAAACTACAGAGAAAAGCAGACAGCTGTTCCTCCAGCTTACGTCATCTCAAAGGGTAAAATAATGACTCCTCCCACTTCACCCCCCACCCACCAGAACAATCATAGTATTTTGAAAACCAATTTCTAAATCATAAAATCAATCTGTATAAAACTTCACAAACCTTGTTGTGGAGCACATTCTGTGCAAAAGCTTTCTTTCTCAGCTGGGATTCCACCAAGATAAACTGGAGAGTTTATGTACAGCTCCTCTTCATTATCGGAGACCAGCTTGTTCTCCATCTGTCCATCCACGCTCACTGACGCCATTGTGCCATGCTTCTTGAGCACAACACTTTTCCATTTTCCATCACAGTAAGAGAGTCCCAACCAAAGGTCAACCCGGGTCACACTTGAATTGGTGTTAAACATGAAGCTCAGAGTTCCATTATGTAATTCAGCCTGGAGGATCATAATCCAAATGTAAAAACAATTTAAAATGTTTACTGAATTCCCCCACCCCCTTCCATTCAACTAATACAGTAGTTATAATCTTGTAAATTACTGAACCACTTGAAGCACATCATGAAAACGTGTTAATGCGTTTTAATTTCCACAGGTTTGAAATGACTAGATATAGCAATTAGCAATAAAATCATAAAGACTGATGTAGTTCTCGAATTCTCAATAAAATAGTTGTGGCTGATGTGTAGTTAAGCTGTCAAAACACATCTTAAATAATAAAACCTCCCAAACCTTTCTAAAATGTGCACTGGAATACCGATAAACTGTAATGTTGAACATTAAAAAAAGTGCAATAATCCTTGACTTAGTCTAACAAAACAATTAAAAATAATAATAACAATCCTTCCATTTGGGATAGCACATTTCACGTCGAGAGGATGCTGCAAAGCCCTTCCCAGGGTATATTGTAAAGTGGAGTGACTGTATGTTTTTAATTACCCTCTGGGTAATTAAAAGCTGGGTAATTAAAAACTGCCTGGTATCTGTGTGACATTGTTGCTATCAGAGGAGCCAATGAGGAAACACGTTCAATAATGCAGATTTTTATTTTCTTATTATTACTTATTATTGTGTCTTAAAAGACACAGCTTCAACATCAAGGCTGCATTCAAGAATTTGCCAAATTCTGGATTTCCTGAAAAGCTACATAAATAGTCTAAAATCTAGACCCAGATAGAATTTCACCCCATGCAGCTGATAAAAGTGCCCCAAATTCCTAAAACCAGCAAAAATGTTATGAAATGGTATACTCAGCCAGATCCTGTTTCAAAATCCTGACTACCCTGCTTACCCTGATTCTTAGAAGTTTATGAAAGTGGACATTTTTTTTCATTGAAAACTGTCAAAAAAAAAGTAAATTCAATACAGCCCATGAAAGAACAATGATAGGTTTTGTGTTGTATTTTGAAGGTTGATGGGCTGCATATCCTTTTTTGTCCATTTCTTCTCCTTTCCGAGCTCCCCACCCCCACCAGCTCGGGCTTCCAGTCAGTCATGTGAAATGCTTGGAGACATCGTCCAGAAATGAAAGGTGCTATATAAACTGCTGGTTTTCTACCTATTCTACACAAGCGCACAGATAATAATCAGATCATCTGATAGATGTAAACACACATATAAATTTACAAAATAAAATATCATGATGCCACGTCACCACTACTCCAACCTATGGTAGTTGTGAGGAACGTGAGTTTGCTTATTAACTGTGCAAAAATCTCTTAATGAAAGACTTACAGCAAGATACGTCTTCCTTCCTTTATTGTAGGCAAAAAGAAGTAAGCCATTTAGTTGGTCTGTCCTTAACTCAAATGAAATCTCAAATTGCTTTCCACCAGAAAAAACACCTGAAAAGAGCTCTAAGTACCCTGAAAGATATGGAATACAGGTGATAAGCAAGATACTTGATAATTATAAATGATTTGACCCATAAAGACAGTGAATGCTTATACGAATAACAAGATATACCACTTGCTACTTACAGACTAATTTTTGAAGGTAATAAAATGTGCATTGTAAAGGCTATTTTTCTAGATGAACAATAATCTGTCATTCTGTACAGTTTCATGTTTTGAGCCAAGGATATAATGAACATTTTTATTACTGATCAATTTAGAATTCTTGTAATCAGTAAACTTTACGAATATTCCTTCACTTCAGAGTTACTGGAAACAAACACACTGAATAGCAAGCTAATGACCCTTGTATATGTAGTATTTTAGAGTGTGTTTGTGATGAGCACATTTACTAACTGGTTAGCCATGATTTCAGTAATGATGGCCAATCACAGAGATAGTGCTGGTAATTTCAGTGCAAATAATACTTAAGACAATCAGAAAACATATTAATAAGAAGCACTTAATGAATTTGCATAACCATTCAATGCTCTAGATGTGCAGTCATAACAATGCTGTCTTTCTACATGTTTCAAACCTGAGAAAAACTGGAATTACGATTCTATGTTATAAGTTACAAAACTTTGCATAAACGTATGGACACATTTTTTTTTCAATTATACATTTTAATTTATTTTATTCCCCTGGGGAGTAACAGCTGTCCTTTAAAGATAAATGCAAATTTCTTTCACCAAACCACGCTGCACAATGGGGACTGATTTAGGCAGTGAAATAAAAGGATGGGCTTATTGTCACAGAGGGTGGGGGGAGAGAAGTTTTCTGGACATGAAGCGTTTTATGCCTAAGGAGGTTTGTGAAACTAGTTTCGGTGGAAGGGTAACTACTATTCCCTTCCTTCATAGCATCCCTGACAACAGGTGTATCACCGGCAAAACACCATGGAGTCTGCTTGGTTTTTTTTAAAAAGCAGATTACAGCTGAGAACTCTTTCCCTCCCAGGCAGATTCATTTGGATTGTTTGGAAGGAAATGGCAGCACATAGGGATTCGAGGCTTGGTGCAATGGGAGGCCCAGGTGGACAAGGGAAGGATGTACACTGGAACAATGGAAATTCCTCAGTGCAATGTGAGCTCAGGCGAAACAACAACAACAACAAAATTACATTTGTATAGCGCATTTCATTCGAGAGGCCATCCCAAGGCGCTGCACAGACAGAGCTTCGGACCTGAGCTGGGGTTCGGGTTGGGTGGAGGGCAGGGGGGATGCAGGAAGATCGAAAGCACAGTCTAACAGGAGGGTTTTGAGATGAGTCCTGAAGGAGGCAAGGGAGGGGGCGAGGTGGAGGAACTGCAGGATGGAATTCCAGATGGGTGGGGGCAGAGTGGCGGAAGGCCCACCCGCCAATAGTGGGGCGAGCGAGGCGGGGGACTTAAAGCAGGCTGGAGCCCGCTGAGCAGAGGGAATGAGCGGGATGTTAGGGGGTTAAGAGGTCGCAGTGGTAGGGGGGAGCAAGACCATGGAGGGCTTTGAAGGTGAGGACCAGCATCTTGAACTGTATCCTCTGTGTGATGGAAAGCCAATGTCGGACGAGGATGGGGTTGATAGGGTCATGCAGCCTAGTGCGGGAGAGGACACGGGCTGCAGATTTCTGAATGCTCTTCAGCCTGCGGAGGGAGGAGTTGGTGAAGCCAACAAGCAATGAGTTTGCATAGTTAAGCCTCAATGTAATGAAAGCGTATATAAGGCTATCGGCGACCTGTGGTATAAGACAGTTGCGGAACTGGGCGATGTTGCGGAAGTGGGGGAAGGCAGAGCAGGTCATGGCAGAGATGTGGGGTAGAAAGGATAGTTGAAAGTAGCTGCTTAGGAGTGTTTTGTGTTTCACAACAGTTTCCTCACTTCATTACTGATCTGTACAGCTCAGACTGCAACTTGTTCAATGGCTGAACTAAAAGCTGAATACAATTTATAATTTGCAGCTAAGTGTGTCTGTGTATGTGCAGCTTGGGTTAGAAACTGATGGTACTTGTGTTATTTATATTTGCTATAGTCAGTTTATGATAAAGCAGATATTACCAGCTTTGGCTAAACCTAAGCACAGCTTGCAAATGAGAAAAATAAAGTTCATTTTTCTTTTAATTTCCCCAGCAATCTGAATGAATAGCAAAGATATAAACTAAACCAGTGGTGACCAACCAATGGCCCGCGGTGCCATCAAGAAGCGGCCCACCAAACATTCATACTACTACAAGCGAGTATGTTTTAAACCTATATTTTGTTTCCAGNTTTTTCTTTGATTGAAAATTTCTTGCTTTATGGCATAAGTCAAGAAATATTCAATCAAGTAAATTTATTTTGTTGGCTGACCAAAAAGGTTGGACACCGCCGAGCTAAACCAAATTCAAAGCTGTCTGGGCTATTTAATGCATAATCCATGCATACCCCGAATCTTCCCCATTTCAGAATTAATTAATTAATGTCCTTTCTCCCTCACATCCGCACCACAACTGGCACCGCCTTCCATCACCTCCGGAACATCGCCAGACTACGGCACTACCTCACCCCTCACGCTGCTGAAACCCTGGTCCACGCCTTTGTCACCTCAAGGCTGGACTATGGGAACTCTCTCCTCGCCGCCTTCCCGCCACCTCCCTCCACAAGCTGCAGGTCATTCAGAACTCTGCAGCTCGTGTACTGTCCCGCACCAGGCTTCGGGACCACATCACTCCCACCCTCGCTCGCCTCCACTGGCTCCCCATCCCCTAGAGGATTGATTTCAAGATCCTCATCCTCACCTATAAGGCCATCCACGGCCTCGCTCCCTCCTACCTCTCTGACCTACTATCCCCCTACCTACCTGCCCGTACCCTCCGTTCCTCCGGCTCCGGTCTGCTCCACGTCCCCCGTCCCAACCGCCCTACCATCGGTGGTCGGGCCTTCAGCCTCTCAGCCCCCAGGCTCTGGAACTCCATCCCCCAGTGCCTTCGCCGCTTCCTCCCTCTCCTCCTTTAAGGCCGGTCTCAAAACCTTTCTCTTTGACCGTGCCTTCAGCTCCCCTCTCGACTCTCTTCCCCTCCTCGCTCCCTCCCTTCCCTCCCCTCACCCTGACCATTTCCCCCTCCTCGCTCCCTCCCTTCCCTCCCCTCACCCTGACCATTTCCCCCTGCTCGGGTCCTGACCCAACTGTGCAGCGCCTTGGGACGTCCTCCTGACATGAAAGGCGCTTTATAAATGGAATCTTGTTGTTGTTGTTGTTGTTGTAATGTACAACGGCAGGTCACTTCCAATCACGTGCTTAAGAGCCGAAATTTTGACATGTAGGGAACAGTGGGTGCAGGCTGGCATCCTACTGCTCTGGTGCACCAATCCTACAGAACGTTATTCATACACTGTGGGGTGTGTGAATTCTCCAAATAGATGCGAGTATGCTAACTTGGGAGCAATTGGCAATGAATGGTCTACAAAGCAAGCATTTTTTATCTAGTGCAGAATGCTTCTGAATAATTGTGAAATACAGCATTTAGTATTTATAAAATAATAATAATAATAATCCTTGCATTTGATATAGCGCTTTTCACGTCTTCTAGACGTCCCAAAGCGCTTCACAGAATATACTGTAAAGTGAATTGACTGTATATTTGTGGGCGAACGCGGCAGCCAATTGCGCACAGCAATGTCCCACAAACAGTAGTGGATTGAAAATGACCAATTTATTATTGTTTTTTGGTTTTGGAGGGATTATTATTAGGCGTGTGGAGTAAGGAAACTTGCCCAAGGTTTCGCCCTCTGCCTGGAATTGAACTCAGGTCTCTCACTTGCAAAGCGAGTGCTCTAACCACTGAGCTACAGGACTCCACTACAGGACTATTTAGCAAAATAGCACCCAAATTTCAGTCTTTCCATAAGTTTAGGTTATGTTTAGTTGATGGATTGTAGATAGGAAAAGAACACGGAAAAAATGTATAAAGCTCCACGGGAATACTTTTAAAAGACCAGTCAGGAGCAGTCAGCCCTATGTCAGTAAGTGCTGAGGCTGTGATCTCTCTCTGCCTCAACTCCACATTACCTCCCAGTGGCAATAAATATGTGAGTGGATACCTCATTGAGGATCGTGAATTTGGCTGGGTAGGACATATTAAACCTCCCATTGGTAACTTGTGTGAATTATTTTAATACCATCAAATTGTCATTTATATCTCTGTAGATTAACAGGTATGTCTAGACATACATAGAATCAACTTTTAGTATAGGCGATCTCTCCTTTTTCCTTTGTTGCTTTGGGAGCCACTTGTTTAATGCAACATTAAATTAGTAATAATTGTTCTTAGACTTGTTAGCAAGCTTGAACACCGAAATAAAGGATGGTCAGGTCAATTTTCAACGAGGCAAGGAAAAGCGCTTTTTCTCGGTATCAAGGGAACTTTTTTATATAGAAAATCAATTATATATTTGTTCTCTTTCAGAACAATCAAAATACTCTCAACATGTTTGCAATGGTCTATCGTCTCTGAGTTTTATTCTTCATTTTCTCTTTTCCTTGTACATCCTGCTAATGATCTTATCTTTTTTTTCCCCATTCTCATTAGATGAAACTGTACCTTCGAGCTCTGTAACCCTTTGGGTGATTTTATTAATACTATCTGGCAATTTTTTCACTGAGCTCTTTATTAGCTTCTCCCCATAGCCTTGTCCTTTTTTGACCTTTTTTGGGGGCAGTTCAAATCTTACTGGGAATTGTGCATCATCATTATCATTATCAGGTGAAGTAATGGAAGTAATGAAGGCCCTCCTTGTGGAAAAAGAAGTGAAGAATGAAGGTTTCCCCCCCACCGCTCCACCACACACACACACTCCTTCTGATCTACACAGTGCCTTGAGATCCCCAAACTGCTGTTTCAGATGCAGTGCTTATCCAAGTTTTAGTTTGAATTTGTGTGTGTGTGTGTATGCACAATTTATATACTATCGCAGACATTTGAAACTGAAATCTGGGGTTATGAAGGAAGAGGAATTGCTTGTAAACCTATCCAAAATAAAACCAATGGGTCTGAAGTCCCTCGTGAGCAAGCGTTCGAAAATATTCAAAAATAGATGCGCTACCCAGAGTTCAGAGAATTAATAATTAATTAAACACTGTATATGTACCCATTTTGTGCTTGGATGCCTGTAGCAGGGCTATTCTGAGTTACAGAAGTTTCAAGTTGCAAGGAGTGTTCACAAGAGCTTTTGGCAGAGAGCTTTAACCAAAGACCTTGAGATCTTGAGACCTGACACTCCTGCTGGACTAAAAACGCTCCAATGCTGCTCTGGATCCTGCAAGGGCTCAACCTTCAGCACTGGATTATGAATCAGTGTAAAGTAGCAGTACTTAACTGGGAGTCACACTGCGCCATAGACATATATAATCACAATTTTTAATGTGCGATTCCAGGAGCCTTAACTAACCAAGTTACTAAGTAATTAAGTAAAGCTCTTCATTGCCACAGTTGGCCTTCTAGACCAAAAAGCTTAAAATGGCAGTGTCAGATAAAACTACAGAAAGTCTAAAGCTGTACAGTTTTAAAGAAAGGGATTTTAAATAAAAATACTGCTTTGATCCCGATGATCAAAGCAGTCTCAGTAATCAAAGATGCTGCATATTGTGATATTCTTATCTACTTCCAAAGTACATAAAGGAACAGCCTTCAATTTTTATCTAATTTCCCTTTCCACTTTGTTGGCAATGAGTAGTATTGATATCACAAAAACTTTGGCCTTGCTTTTGATAAGGTTTGAAAGCTTATGCCACTGTGCATCTGAGCATCGGAAAATCACTCCTCCAGCTGTATGTAATTTGTGTTTCCTTAAAATTGAAGTTGTTTTTGTTGATTCGTAGCTGAGACTTTCTATTGAAAATCTCTTATTTGGGTACACACAAACCTATCTGAATTGAACAGTTCACTTTCATTATATTAGAATAACCATTTGAATTCCAAGATCCTCATCCTCGCATTCAAATCCCCACACAGCCTTGCCCCATCCCTAGCTCTGTGGCCTCCTGCAAAACCCACCACCACAGCCTCTCCCTTCGCTCTGGGAACACCGCTCCGATCGCCTGTTTTGCGTCTCCGGCCCTATCTGCCCCACCATTGGTGAGCTAGCTTTGAGCCATTCAACCCTGCTCTCTGGAACTGTATTCCAGAGTCTCTCCATTTTGCCCGTATCCTCCCCACTTTTAAAGCACCTGCTTTTCAACTGTGCTTTCCTCTTCCTCTTCCCAACCACTCCCCTGCCCCCACCCATCCCACAAGCTCTCCCCACACCAGCTGGGGTTCCCATTCTGCTGTGTGAAATGCTTTGGAGCACTTTATCTATGTGAAAGGCACTGTACAAATAAATGTAAATTGTTGTCGGCATTAAATTCATGATGTTGCACATCAGTTAATCATTAACAACTCACAAACAAGAATTGCTTGTAAATACCTTAACTGAGTAGCAATACTACATGTAATACAACATTACTTCTTTTCCACCTCAGTGGGAACAGATGTTTTAACAACTGGAAACCTTGCATTTGATGTAGCACCTGTAACCCTGAAACATCACAAAGCACTTAGTTACTACTGGTACCTTGTCCTAGGAAATGTGCTCCATCCGCAAGAACATTGGGGCAGCCTTCCCAGCTGTGATACACTCCAACTTTTTCTTCTGCACTGTCCCAGTCCAAAGGTTCCCAAACCTCATTAGGAGTGTCACTCTTCTTTATACGTATATCACCAAGGCATCCCACAAATCCGTTTGGAAGCACTTCTGCATCACCTTAGCAGATCAAGCATCAACAGATCCATTATGTACAGCATGTTGTATTCTTTGTCAGACAGCCAATCATACCAATGAATAATTACAAAACATCGTTCCTTTTCGTTACAACCTCTAACTGTAATCACGCAACCTCTTTGATTTTTAATGAACTGTACTGTTCTTGCGCACATTTAATTGCTCTGAATTTTACATTACAGACGTAGGTTTACGGAGGACAAGGAAGTTGGTTGATAGATTATGAATTTACATCATGTATTCTTTTCAATTTTGGCTCAATGAATTACACATTACATGAAGCTTTTAGACACATTCCAGGTAAGAAAAATAAAATGCACAGGATTTTAAACCTTGCCCTCATTTCTTTAATTTAATGTTCTGTTGGCATAATCTGCAAAATTAAAATATGCAGTACCATGAGGTGAAATTTCTTGATGTTCCATTAGAATCATTTAACAGAATCATCCTTTTCCCAATGTCATGAAGAAAACATTATTTTAAATGCTACCATTTAAATGCAAATGAAATTTGACCAAAAATGTTTCATTATTCTTTTCACCTTTTCCCCACTTGATCTCAAATTCACTGCAGCAGTGTGTGCTTTCCAAGAAGTTGAACATGTGCGCGTGTTTTTCCTGATCTCAAATGCTGCAACATTAAATTCTTTTAAATAATGTGGCTGAAGTAGATCTCGAACAAATGTGCAGAAGAAAAACAACAATAAAAGCCTTCTGAAGTAGAGATGAAGAACTTTTAACAATTCGGATTATATCAAGAAATCATTTGGTTGTTTTCGTTTTGCTATCGCTCGACATACCACAGGAATAAGAAACTTGTTTCACTGGATTTAATAAATGGCCCAAATAAACTGATGAATTCTGGTGTTTTGTTAAATGTTTAGACCCTTATACACATAACTAACTGGATGAATAATGCACAAGCATGCCTACTTAAATTAAATATCCTGTAATGGGTAAGGTCAGGCAGTAAATATACATGGGTCATTCTTTTTGACAGCATCAAGTTGTTAATTTTCGCCTTTGGTATTGGTGGTTCTGTCAGCACAGGTATTTAGAGTCCCCCATGCCCAGAATTTTATGGATCCAAGCGCCAAAGGGTAACTTGTAATGTGAACTCTGTTTCCATAGCTGGGTGAGTTTGTCAATTCACAACACGGTTACCAGGAAGCAGTCTTCTCTCAAGCAAAGGAAAAGAAAAATCTGTTCCGCTCTGGGTCTTATTGCTGCAATCGTGCCTTGTGTCAACCAGTTATGGGTTACGTAGAGTGATGATAAGGCACAGAAACAGTACATTCAGCCCAACCAGACCATGCCAGTATTTATACTCCACACGAGCCACCAATGAGTCAACAATGACCAGATATAAGTGTAAGAGAATGGACCACACCACATTTTCAATGTGAAGAAATAGAGAGGGAGCAAGTGTGTTCCAATTCTGGGCAGTATTATATTCAAATCTATTTCAAAATAACTTTACAAATATCTTTAGAAGAAGGACAAGCAAGAGTATTGATGGCAAACAATATTGAGACAGAAATACAGCGACACACCTTGTGTCAGCTCTTATTAACACTGAATAAAATCAAATAGTAACTGCAGTATAGGAATTTACCAAATATCAAATCGTAATGAATCAGAAATACCTGCGTCATCCCTTAGAATGTTAAAGTCCTGTGGCAGTCCTCCAATGAACACTCCTGTATTATCTCCAATTATAGTGTTCCCACTAGGTGCCAATGCTGAACCTAAACAAGATTGTGAACAGTGCAAATTCAGTGATGTGCTAAATGTAACATTCAACGCTTAAAGCTTCCGTCATTTTAATAACGAATGTTATTCAATTGCAAAGAACTTGCCTGGTTTACCTTAACTTGAAACAAAAAAAAATGTGACTTTAATTTAGGCGAGATGACATAATTTATTTGGGCCAAAAGCGATCATTCTGCAAAGTGGGCAGAACATGGACTAAAAGTAAAGTTAATAATCGCTCTTCTGTTTTATAACAATACCAAAGCTATTTGTTTGAATCATGGTTTTGTAATTCACTGTCAGTCAATTAATAATCATATATCATGCAGTAAGACTTGAGTAATTTATGCATATCCTCAGAATCATGAGGTTAAGTTTATAGCCTTTTATTAACTCTTTCTACCATCCTTTTTTTTATTATGCTATGGTCACAATAAAATGAAAACAACGTTAATGGGAATCAAAAATAGCAGTGGAATTACAGTGATTGAAAAATGGAGGGAGTCAATCGTAGGGTCATTCTGACCGAATCCTCTCATGTAATACACAGGAAGCAAAATTATAGAACAAATTATAGCATATAGGATAATATACTTTGTGAGAGCATGAACAAAGGATATTACAACATTATTGGTAACACTGAAATGGAAAATGATTGTGTGATTCCAGTGTTGGAAGATAGAAATGGTTCATTATTAATGTTGTATGATTAATATACTTTGTGAGAGCATGAAATGTTATGAAAGCCAAACCAAGCTAAAATGTTACAAAATATTGTAGAGCACAATGATTCAGTTCTGACTGGGTAGTTTGTTTTTGTTGTTTGTGAAGGCAAGAGGGCAGTGGTGGAGGATGCAACTAGGGCTAGATTCTATTCCTGTTTATCGTGCTAAATTCTATTGGAACATTATTATTATTGGTAACACTGAAATGGAAAAGGATTGTGTGATTCAAGTGTTGGAAGTTAGAAATGGTTCAATATTAATGTGGTATAATTGCAACCTTTTTAAATATAATGATAATTTTCATGTATGTAGTGCTTCAGAGAACATCTCAAAGTGTTTTACACAAATGAACATTTGTTTGAAAATGAAAGAATGTATAATTTTGCAATAATTAAAGGGAATATATTTATTTAAAGTGTTTTCATTATTTTTGTTCTACACAATGCTAAAGTGCAGGGGGGAAGGTCATCTTCATTATGTTCACAACCAAATCATTCCATAATTAAAGTTCCTTTTGGGAACTGAAATTTTTGGTGATGTATTAATTATGACTGGTGATACTTCTCACATTACATGTTGCATTTTGCACCCCCAATTGGTGTAACTGTATTATCTGAGTAAATGAAGAGAACATGACGATAAGTGGATAACATTTAGCTGTGTTTCACACATTTGTATAATGAACATACACCCAATTCATATTGCTGAAGAAAGTAATTTCTGCTTCAATAGTAAAGAGATTAGGAGTGGAACGCTTGACTCATTTTTGACGAGTATATCTATTTGCATGGATGAAATCTCTTGTGTATTGTTTGTTAAATGGAATTGGTGTTTGAGGTTACTGCCCAATATTACGCAACATACATGATGTTACTCATACAACATGTAAAAGTAGGATAGAATAGCATTCCTTGTTGCTATATTGAAATTCACATGTTGAGGATGTGATTTTAACACTCATTTTTCATAACATCTCATACAGTTCTCGTCAGTATGCATCTGACCTGATGGACACATGTACATGTGACATAATAACCGATAAAGGACACATTTTCATTGATAAGAGATGCATTGCACACAGCAATGTCTCACAAACAGCTATAAAATGAATGGCCAATTTTATCTTAGGATTGTTGACCCGGATAGCATGAGAAACTCCCTTCTCTTTTTGAATAGTTCAATGAGATCTTTAACACCCATCTGATTAGGCAGATGAAATGGGTTGACCATCATTCACAACAAGATAGGGCTGGGCAGTGATAGGAACAAAATTTCAAACAAAAATTGAGAGCAAAGGTCCACAGGGTGAACATAAATAACAGTAGTGACATTTTCAAAAATGTACCTGTAAATAGAAGGGATAGTGTATATTTGTATAGTGCCATTATTCTTGAATATACGTTACCAATGGACTTGGATTTACAAACCACATGAGAGGTATCCATGATACTGTACATCAAATACACTTTTGGTTTCTTTTCAGTAATCACATCTGCACTGTGGAATAACAACAGCATTGCAATGCGGAGGGTACTCAGATTGAATATCTTCAATGCTTCAATTTGGGGAATGTGACATTTATTGCCCAGCACACTACATGCTATTGGATGTTATCTTTTAAATATATCACCTTTATACTGGCCATCCACAACTATAGTTCCCTCGGCCCGAGTTCTTGTAGCAGTTATATGATGCCACTGATTATCGTTGAATTTTTGTCTTCCATCGTTAATAGGAGTGATTGCAACAGCAGAACCCTGTCAAAATACAACACAAGTATACTTACTTGGATAAAGATCAACTAAAGTGACTGAGCAAAGTTGCTTAACACATTATGAATATCAAGAAAAAAATCATAGCCAACCCTTCTACAACAACAACTTGCATTTATATAGCGCCCTACATATGGGGCAACGTCCCGGATGCTTCACAGAGTCTGACAAAGAGCCAGGGGGAGAGGAAGGGTGGAGATGACTGTAAGCACGATCAAAAAGGAAATTTTTTAGGCAGGATTTAAAGGTGGGGCAAGGTGGAGGGATCAAGAGAGAGTTCCAGAGTTTTGGGGCGTGCACAAACAATACTACAGCACATAGATCCTTGATTGATACTACGAGTGCCAAGATGAAGAAGGTCCTTCAGCCCATTTAATCTCATCCTTTCAGGTTAGCACCCATTACCCATTACAACGTCAAACTGCTTTTGTTAATCTGAGCCTTTGACCTGGTTGATATCACCCTTTCGATCATACCTTTCCAAATGTCTTTCCTAAAATTGCTCCTCACAATCCTCAACCTGTGCTCTCTTGTCCTGCTGCCTAGCATATCTGAAAATATTATTCTGAGTTTACTTTCACAATCCCATTTAGCCGCTTAACTACCTCCATAAAGCTCCATCTGAAACATCTCTTTTAAAGCTATAAAGTCCTACCTTATCTAGTCATCCTAGACACACTGGGAATCAGCTTTATGGCTAACTACATTGCATTTTGGAACTGGGAAGCCGCTACGTTGACAGAAACCTGATCTATATACAGTAGTCCAGGTGTGACATTGTAAACATGTTCTAAAGTCAGGAATGCATTTATCCAGTTGAGCTGACAAGGTGTTCCACTGAGGTTCATGTGGTGTTTCACTTACGAGCAACCCATTTTAGTTTTTTTTGCTAAAGAAAATTAGTAGAAATGGACAATGCACTTTCCTTTAATGTGCATCATTGTACAGGGGGTTTGCATATTAACATTCAATCGAAGATCCAGAAAACAATAAATAGCAATTGAACACTTTAGCAAAAAGAGGCCAAGCTCGCTGTGTTTTCATGCCAGTTGGTGTCTTTGTGTTAAAATATTAAATAGGTTTCTGGAACATGTTGGCCATGATTATTACAAAGATGTAATAATGCCAGAATTCTTGCAAATTAATGCCCCATAAGCATAAAACTGAATTGTAGATTTTTTAAAAATGAAATAGAAAAGTTAGAAGCATATTTCATTAATATTATTTCACTTATTCCTGCTTGATGTTCCTGAATGTTCTCAACTGATTTCAGTCAGAAGCTGAAGAAACATAGCATTTCATGATTACAAAGGTTCTAACACTTAAGCAATGAATTACAATTACACTGCCATATTGCAAACAGAAATCTAAATATCTGGTCATCTTCAAAGCCACTACCTCAGCGTTAAACTTACATTTCGACTATATCAAGCAGTTAGTAAATTGGGTTTTCTGCAACACCCATTAAACATGCGTTCCAATACAATCTCAGTATTAGATTCAGATTTACAATAGGGGTATGCAAATATTATTTCTCAACTGAAAACCAAAGTCTCATTATGAAGTCCAATGGTAAGTCAGGGTCTTGCTGACAACTCACCACATACCTAATCGGAGAGAGGCACTGAACAGAAATTGTTTTCTTCACCATAGTGTAGAACGAAAAATCACAGGTTCTCATTCACTTCTTACCTTGTTGCTGGTTAAATAGTCTTTGGTGGAGACTAAGAGCAGAATGCCTGTCCGTTATTTTAGTCACTGCAGGAAACCTGAGGGAGAGCTTGAAGAAACTACAATTTTACAATAGGGAGAAAATAACTTTCCTACTGTATTCAGTATTTCTGATTGTATCTAACCACTGAGCTACAGGTGGAGTCCTGTAGCTCAGTGGTTAGAGCACTCACTTTGCTTTACAAGCGAGAGACCTGAGTTCAATTCCAGGCAGGGCGAAACCTTGGGCAAGTTTCCTTACTCCACACGCCTAATAATAATCCCTCCAAAACAAAAAACAATAATAAATTGGTCATTTTCAATCTACGACTGTTTGTGGGACAATACTGTGCGCAATTGGCTGCCGCGTTCGCCCACACAAAAAAATACAGTCAATTCACTTTACAATGTGTTCTGTGAAGCGCTTTGGGACGTCCTCCCGACGTGAAAAGCGCTATATCAAATGCAAGGATTATTATTATTATTATTATTATTATCTGTGACTCTGAGAAATTCTGTCTCCATGCATCTGTAAATGTTATTGAAAGTAGAAAAATCTCCCAAATCTCATTTCATCCAGGCAGGGTGGGGTGGTGCTCATATTACACTTACCTGCAATAATGAATTTATTGTACAGAAAATATTTAAGCACAAAATGTAGAATGTCAATTTGCACTTTCGACTCTTTTGAACATCCGAATGAACAAAGATTTGAGCTCCTTTTGGGAGTGAGGTAGGATCCAAGACAGATGATTTTCCAAAGGTGGAGAAAAGCATTTGAGCACTGACTACAGTATATATTTACGCAACAATTAGTTTGTCAATTCTGATCAAGTGCTTATAGAGTTGAATTACAAATCAGGTATTATTACAATGTAATAATAAGTACAATGGGATTATATTAATTGATCAAGTTGGCAACATATTTTGTGCTACATTTGAAACTCTAAAACTCAATCACCCATTGATTTTCATTAATCACATTGATTGACACTGGTTTGGAATAAGTAACCTGTGATTCATAAATGCAGACCTCAGAAATGCTGCTGCAGTGACCTTAACATGACTAACTGTGGGCTGTATTGCAGGTAGAAGGAGGTATAGGGTGAATGTGTCTAATCATTGCTCACAGCTAATTCCTCTAACATTTGGGATCATCCTGGTTCCTGTCTTTGCGTCTAACATCTGCATAGTTTCCTGTAATTTCATAAGGTGCTTATTGTAAGAAGATTATTGAGCCATGAATGCAGGTTACATGATAATATTGTGTAACTATTTAAAAAAAGCTGATATGCTAAGTAACATGATGTATACCGTATTGGAAAAAGTTAGCAGGACATTTATGTCAGCATTGAATTTAGTGTACAGAAAAACAAATAAGCAATAAATAACTGTAATAATGTTCTATAAATTGTTTAGTGACACAGACACATGGAACTCATTCTGATGACGTAGATAAGACAAACTTTAAGGAGCAATCATCATGGACCTATGGCAAGATAACACAATTAATCCTGCGTTGTTGGTTCATCAATGACCTTAACCTCCCAAATGTCTCTTACATAAACCCTCCAGCTTTCCTAAACCTCCGATTTTTCCTGAATGCCCTAATCCTTGTAATTGTATTCACTTCTATCCTCTTGGTTTAGCTGCATCTCTTTGATTCCTAACACATCGTCATTACCAGTTTCACCATTGCCTCTACTTCCAGCATCTTATTTTGAATACATATAATATATATACACCTAATTTCATTCTTTATCCCCTTAACCATCATATCCAGTTATCTGGCCTTGCGATCTGGATCTAGGATTCTTGCGCTCTTGATTTTTTGGGGTCTGTTTTGTCATGAATATGTCATGTACATTTCCATTTGCAACCAGGCAACATTAAACCAAATCAATGTACTGACCCCATGCTGCACGAGGCACAAACAGCAAAAAAAACTGTTAGCTGTTCATGACGGATTTTTAACTGCATGTTATAGTCCTGGGTAACTATCAGCAGATTGTGTGGCCACTCACCTCCTGCTCTGCACTCTGTTGCCCAAAATACCAGCAGTAACTTGAACACATGCCAAAAAGCCACCAGGATTACAGTTCACATATTCGTGCATATAACCCCACATGGAACAATTACCTTCACATTGCATTCTGCAATTATTGCTTTTTTCTACCATCAGAGCTAATGCCATCAGAAAATACTGAATCAGATTTCATCAATAGTATCTCATAACAGTGACTAAATGAGATGTATACCCAGTTTTACCAATCAGAAGTATTTCATCCCCATAAAGTATAGTGTAAGAAATAGTTGAATACCCAAGGTGGGCAGCAGACTGGACCCTAAACAAATTAATCTAAATTTGGCTATTTTCAATCCAGTGAAGCAAAATCAAGCTCTAGATGAGAAGCTCAGTTGAGTGTTAAATTTAATGGAAAGGGCAAAAATATAGAAGCAATGCATTTTGAACACATACATGAATTATCTGATAACTCCATGACACAAATATGTTTCATGGATTGCACGTTACTATTTAGTCACTGATATCTAAGTGCAAGTTTTGCACTTAACTGCTTTCGTTCAATACACTATTGTATCTAAACATATTTGGTAAGTTACAATCTGTTGCTGGCATTTATATTACAAATTTACTACTTTGCCATTTGACAAACACCCATTACATTAGTCTAGTCCAGTAATTAAAACCAGAACTAGTGTCATGGCCAATTAATGTCCCCAGGTAGCATGCCCATTAGTTTTCCCATTAGTGAATTCAACAATACTAATGGGATTTCCACCATGGGATGTTAATTGGGCATGACACAGGAATTGGTTCGGTTCTTTGCACACCCTTGCTAATGATGAAATTAATGAGCATTTTATTGAATGCTATCTCATCAAAGTGTATCTAGCCAATTCATAGAACACACTGCTGCATTATGAACACCATTTTGCATCTCTGAGGTTGTTGCTGTCTGCATCCTACAGTTTGTTGCAATATCATTAAACTTCCACCTGCAGCAAAACACATGTAAGTCATTGAAAATAGACCCAGCCTGCCTCTAATTTTTGTTTCAGAGCAATAAAAAATTTTTTAATGTCATCTCCAGCAATAACTTTTGGGGGTATTCACTTTAAATACAATTTTTAATCTGAAAACTATTGACCTGCGAGTTCAACTTAAAAACTAGCACATTCATTTTACCCCTCTTACATATTTCAATAATTTGAATAAAGGTTTATTCATATGAGCCCAAATAACATTTATATTAACAATAGTTTGGTTAGCACTTTTAAAATATTAGTAAAATATTCCAAATGTGTAACAGTTCTTAAGATTACACTAACCTTCAGGACTTCTAATAAGTATATTGAAAATGATGTAGTTTGTGATTAAAGGTTCAAGTTATTTCTCCTCATGGGATGTGATGTATTTGTTGTTGCATTTCTATATAACTATATTTATGATTAATACTGTATGTGCAATTGGCCCAAAATTCTATAGCCTGAAGGACCATTTTGCCTTGAAATTTAAGATCATGCAGAAGTTTGTAAAATTCATGAATTGGATCACCTTGTCTCCAGGGGTCTCTCCAATCAGTTTCAGGAAAGAGTTGCATGTGGCCCAGTGCATCTCCAATCAGTTCAATGTGGGCAGATACTCTTTTTCTCGAGCAATTGGCTCTCAGGCACATCCTTAAGTGTGAACCCCCTATTAAAATGACCGGTGAATCATTTCCATAAGTGGTATTATTACAATGGCTGAGGAAACATCTCACCTCATAAACGAGTGTTATCCAAATCTAGTAAAATATATTTTTCAAGGTACATTTTGAACCTTCCCTCCTTATTGACTTTTTTTTAACAAAAAACAATGTCAACTTTTGATCAGGAAAGTTGAAAAATATTTGTGACTCATTATAATTAAGCATGGGCTTAGTGTGCCTGGAGATTGACTTATCATAGTGATGTACAAACAAATGCTATCAAGTACATGTTTGGTTAGCATCTCAGTATCTACAATAAAGGAGGCACAGGCTCAAGCTCAGAAGAGGGAAGGTGAACAGACCATTAGATTCACCTACTTTACATAGGGAGCAGTATATACACAATACAAAACTACATTGGTATAGCACCCCACAAGGCAGTCCTCCCGACGTGAGAGGTTCTACACAAATGTAATAAGCGAGACATAAACGAGACAGTCAGAGATTTGGACCCGAGCTGGGGGTCGGGATTGGAGAGGGCGGCCTAAGGCACGGTCGAAGAGGAAGATTTTGAGGCACGCCTTGAAGGAGGCAAGGGAGGGAACGAGACAAAGGGAATGCGAGATGGAGAAATGTGGATGTAGGGGCAGAAAGGCTGAAGGCCCGATATCCGATGGTGGAGCAGGCCAGGTGGGGGATGTGGAGCAGGCCATAGCCTGCTGAGTAGAGGGAGCGGACAGGTTGATATGGGGTCAGCATATATAAATGCAAGCTGTTGTTGAATAGGTGAAATAGACTACCGGGAGATAAATTGTGTCAACAGATTCAAGAAGAAATCAGATAGCTTTTTGGTAAAAAAAAATAATATGAGGGGAAGATAAACGAGATAATGCAGTTCATGTTTTGTTTTGAACTTTGGAACCATTCAGATGGACAGCAGTTCATAGAATCATACAAGACAGAAGAGGGCCATTCGGCCCATCGTGTCTGTGCCGGCTCTTTGAAAAGAGCTATCCAATTCAATCCCACTGCTCCGCGCTCTCCCATAGCCCTGCAAACTTGTCCTCCTCAAATATCTATCTACTTCTCTATTAAAGGTTGTTATCGAATCGGCTTCCAGTTGTCTTTCATGGTCCTCCCTGTTCCTATGAGCTAAATTGTTCCACTGAGATATTCAGCTATTCCATTTCCTAAGGACCTCATTATTAACTTTTAAATATGAAGAGGTGCTGATTCTGCAAGACATTGTACTACATGACTATATTTAAAACAACTGACATTTAACAAAAAGACTGATGTATGTATATAGGATGCTGAGTAGGCATTATTTTTCAGCTTTATATCCAATCCTTCACAGGTTTACAGGCCACCACAAAGGATATAATTTCTTTACTCACATAAAGCAACAGTAACAATAATTCATGTGTTGCATTGGCCCAAAGATATAAAAAAGTACATTACCATTATATATATATGAATTCGTTTTTTTTTAAAAAAGCTGATCCATTTTAAAATTCTTTCTGATGTTTTCACTTTTTTCTTAATTCAATGAATCACACGTATCTATATATCATAATAATAATAATTCTTGCATTCGGTATAGACCCTCATCATGTCAGATGGACATCTCAAATCACTTCACAGGAATTACTGTGAAGTGGAGTGACTGTATTTGTAGGAAAAAGCGTCAGCATAATTGCACACAGCAATGTCCAACAAATAGCTATAAAATGAATGACTAACTTTATTTGAGGGGTTGTTATCCGGGAAACCAGGCAAAACTCGCTTCTCAACATATATTGCTTTGTTTGGTGGGGGTGGGGGGGGAAAGAAATTAAGATTGTTACGAATAAATCAATTCCCGGTTAGTAAGTCGTACAGTGACTGAACATGACAAACAACTGCAATTGTGAAATTCTAGATCCTGCCCCTACGCTGATCAAAATGTGACAACATTATTCTAGGGCAGCATTCTGTCATGACTCCATTATTGTTTCACTATTGTTAAATTATTAAACCTTGCCTTCTCTAATGATTTAATGCGGAGGAAAAATCCCTCTGAAACCTTGGCATAATTATCGACTGACAAGTACCTGTGGATCGAAAAGGAAGAAAGGACGTCCATTCCGTAGCTGCAACACTACATACTCTTCTTGGTTTCCCACAGATACAGCAAAAAGAATCACACCATCAAGCTGGCTGGTCCTGAAGCTGATTTTAATACCTATTGTAGAGAAACAATCAAATTAAAGCTATTTTCAATACTTTTTTTTATTCTGAAGTGGGAGGTAATTAAAGTTAGCAAAGCATCATGATTAATAAACAGGTGGCTGAGTCGAGAGTTGATGTGGTTTTATTAGAAGGAACGTAAGAACCAATCACTTTATTGATGAAAATGTTATGCCATATACTGCTTCAGATCATCCAGAAAGTTTAAATATCCAGTATAATTACGCCCATTTATGCCATTCTTTCAATACTCAACACTTGGTTATCTCTTGCAAGAGTATTGATCAATCGGAATTTGTCTCCAATAAATGTTGACACGTTAAAGAAGTAACTTGTATTTTCATTGTCAAAACGTGACAAAGCACTTCACAGCTAATAACTGTGAAGTATAGGCAATCGTGCTAGTCATTTTTCAGACAGCAACGGTCTGCAAGTAACAATGAGGTGAATACTGATTATTGTGGAGTATTGTTGATCAGAACAAGGGGAGAAATGTCCTCCTTTCCAACCTGTCAGACGATTTTAAATGTCCACTTGAAGAACAGGGAGATAAAATTGTGGTTTAACATCTTGTCTGTTACGAGAGCATCTTTATGTAGTACTGTATATACATACCCACATAAATATAGTGCATGCATGCACATTTTCAATTCCTTTGCTTTCCCTCCTTCAAATTTATCTTTGTTTTTTCCACTTAGAGTCTTTGGTGGGAACTATTTCAAAGCAGTTCTATAAGGTTTCAGCGATTTACTGTACAAGTTCTTTCATGTCATATCCTGCATAGAGGGAACTCAGGATATTTTTGTGATGGTAAAGCAATGAACTGGTGGAATTTGCTGAGTTCACACAAAGGGTCAGTGTGATCATTCCCACAGTATTGATTTCTCTTTTCAAGTCACTTTTTTTTAGTGCGAATCAGAACAAAATGGTTATCGTGCAGTGTGAAGCACAAGTAAACTTCCCAATACTTGTCTAGCCAGAAGTACCTTGGCCTTTACAGTTTTGGTTCACAGTTATGTCTTCACTTTTACTCACTGATTAATCCAGAGAGAATGGTCAAGAATCAGTCGTGGACCCTGGGGTTGAACTTTATTTATAACTAAAGGTAATAACCAGTTCTCATAACAGGACTGATCCATGCCACAACTTGCTGTTGACCCTGAAATCTTTGCAATGTGTTACAGGCAATAGTAAACATGCAATCTAATTATGAGATTGTGTCACTGTTTCTGTGCCCACAATAAAATTTAATGCAAATTATATTTTAAAATCAACACTCCAGTTCAGCAATCCTCACTCTTTGCCTTCTTTTATTTGTCAGTACTTCCATGAGGTAAATACAATAGTATACTCGTGAAGTCAATGTAATACAAATGTTTTTCACAGCAAGCCTCTACCTCAACACATTATTTAGTCGGATCGCAAAGTTGTGATACAAATCATGCAGCACCTGGTTCCACCCAGTAGCCAATATTTATATTAATAATAGCCTTGCATTTGATATAGTGCCTTATCATAATAATAATAATAATAATAATCCTTGCATTTGATATAGCGCTTTTCACGTCGGGAGGACGTCCCAAAGCGCTTCACAGAATATACTGTAAAGTGAATTGACTGTATATATTGTGGGCAGTCAATTGCACACAGCAGTGTCCTGCAAACAGTCATGATTGAATGACCAAATTATTATTAATTAATTAATTTTGAAGGGATTATTAACCCAAGCAACTAATAACTGGGTTCCTACTTACTGCTTGGTACACAGAGACGTGTGGAGTAAGGATACTTGCTTAAGGTTTCATCCTGCCCAGTAATAGAACCCGGGTCCTCTCGCTTGCGAGGCGAATGCTCTAACCGATATGCTACAAGCCTCTTAATCTCTTGATTTAACTATTATTCACTAGTGTCAGAGAGTCAACCTGGCTTAGTTAGTAGACTCTTGCTTCCCGAATTAGAAGATTGTGGGTTCATCCCCACTTTGGGAGGTTGAAGTCATATTATCTAGGCCAGTGGCAGCCAACTTACATGCCACAGAACATTTCTGGTGTAATTCAGGAAATATGCAATCAAGAAAGTTTATATTGTTGGCCAACTGAGAAGGCTGGGCACCATTAATCTAGTCATGAAATTCCAATGCAGCACTGGGCGTGTACTGTGTTGTTGGAGGAGCTGTGTTTCGGATGAGACGTTTAACCTAGGTCCTGTTCTGATTGTTCAGTTGGAAGTTACAGATCTCATGGCACTATTTGAAAAAAAGAATAGAGTTTCTCCTGGTGTCCTGGCCAAAAGTCCACCAGATTAAAATTGTCCCTTCACTTCAAGGCTGTTTGTGGGACATTGCTGTGCTCAAATTGGCAGTGAGGTTTGTCTACAAAATACACAGTCACTACACTTTATAGTTTAGTCTATGAAGTGCTTTGATACGTTCTTCTGACGTGAAAAGTGATATATCAAATGCAAGGTTATTTTTAACACCATATTGTAAAAAGTAAAAGAGATCTTACATACAATAACACCCGTGAGCCAGGAAGAACAGGGATTTGTTTTCAGTTCAGTGAACCCCGCATCGTGGAAGCCTCTTAATGGGAACATCCCCATGGTGAACAGAACATTACCATTATCCAACTGTTCCTATTAATCAAACACAATGTGGGGACTGAATTGGTGCCTGAGTAAATGTTCCTTTCAAAGAAAACGTTCCCATTAACAGGGGACCTGTGACTACAATTGATCACACGCACGTTGAAAACAAACTTGTTACTCCCTGTGCCACAATCGTAATGAAGCACTGTATAAACTGTGTTAGTTTCCTGTTCCTTTCACGCAAGTATTACAGCATCTACTCTGCATTCCAAGAACAATTTCAGCTACCCATTCAGTCTCGACCAATGTCCCTTCTCAGCTTACACCTATTACATTTCTAATTTTGCTCATTTAAAATTTAAATTATAATTATGATATTGGTAATAATTACCATTTTAATATAATAATATGGTAATGAAGGTGTCTTCTAGCCAGAGTTGTTAGTGGGGAATCCTAATGGATTAACAAAATTTCTACACAAACAAGGCAAATTTATTTTGAAAAATTATAAAAGGCTATGTTCAAAGACACGGCTGGATTAGCAAGGCTTCTGGATTTTTTCAAAAAAAGTCAAACATCCTATGCCTACTTTTATTTTAACTACAGTAATTAATATACGTAAAATAAAAATTCCTTTAATATATGTAATCATTTCCCAGCAAGATGCAGGAAGTTAAAGGTTAATTAATATGGTTGCTATGGAAACATTTGGGGAGAACAGTTATGAGTACCAGATAGCTCCAAACTTCATCACGAAATGTCCAAGAACACTGTCACTACATGACGCGAGGGGAGGGTGACAACTGGTCTTGGCCATAAATGCAGTTTACTGTTCCGCAAGATTCTTGGTGAATCTGTGAATCCAGCAATGAGTCCATCAAAAATTTTACTGAGGTTAGGAAGAGAACCAGGTTAGTAACGGGAGCAATGTCAAATTGCAGAAAACTTCTGTCGCGTATTCCAATGTCTGAATGAGCAAAATGTGTTCCCAAACACAATTAGTTGAATAAGGATCACATTGTACATCATACCACAATTGTTTATGACAAGTGATTTAGCAATCACTTTTGGTAATATTTTGGGTCATTTCCAGTATGGTAATAGCACCTATCTTTTCTCATGCCATGCAGATGCAGTGAGTACCCCTATGCATGTTTGCCATTTGCCTCTCTCGATCACTCTCCTGGTCTGCTTGTTTATTTTCCTTTCCCTTTGTCTTCTTGTATCTACATCACCTCATTTCTTCTGGCTTCCTGAATAATGCAGATGTCTCCAATGCTGTTTTCTTTTCTCATTTTCTTACTTATCTTCACTCTACTATTCACCCACTCTTTTTCTATCCCCGTGTCTGTCTCTATGTATCCATCTATTTTGTCTCTTTTTTACTGCTTACTGCCATTGCAAAAGTCTGTGGCGTGAACTGAAGTGCACAAGAACACAGTGTAAGTTTCCAACATTTCACAGAGTTACAATGCAATGCCCCACATAGGGACTTTGATTAATTTAGACTGACACTCCAATTGCATGGTGGGTCCTGTCTGCCTGATCAGGTAGATGTTATAGGCCCAGGGTAGGCTTCAAAAAGAGAAGATTTCTCTCAATGTCCTGGCCAACAATCTCCCAAATAAAAATGGTCATTTGTTTCTTGGCCGTTTGTGGGACATTACTGTATGCAAATTGTCTGCAACATTTGTCCACAAATTATATAGTAATCACATACTTTACAGTATATCCTGTGAAATGCTTTGAGACATCCTTCTGATGTGAAAGGCATTATATCAAGTGCAAAGATTATTATAATAGACAAAAATAGGTTCTAATAAAGGCGTTAAATTGAAAGTATTATAAAAGTTTTGTTTAACAAGGAACAAATAAGGGACAAACATAATCACATTCGTAAGTCGCATAAAATAGCCACATCTATAGTTGACCGCCCACTTTTTTCACTTTTTAGTTTATATTCTGTAATTTACTGTTCATCTATGTGCACCAACCATTTCATTATATGGTATATATAATTCACTACTGTATATGATTTGCTTCTGCAGATTGTATGACAAAGCCCCTAAAGCCTATTACACTTCTCTTTCAATTATTCGCTCAAACATGCCATTTGCATTATATATCATTAAATCATTTACACATTTCATCCACAAAATATACAGTCAATTCACTTTACAGTATACTCTGTGAAGCGCTTTGAGACGTCTCGGAGATGTGATAAGATGCTATATCAAATGCAACGATTATTATTATTATTTAAAGATTTTGAAGACAGCAGGATGAATTGGAAAAACAGCCTTTTGTTTTGTAAACATGTGGATCAAAACAGTCAAAACATATTTTTTCAAAACCGAAAACAAATTTCTGCAACTCCAGGATTGAAAATATTCTCCATTTGTTAAAACTCCCCAAGCAGTACAATATAGAAACCACAAGTTTCTTTGTCGAATCACAGGTTGACAATGAAATTCAACATGAGGCAACACTGAAGAAAAGATAAGTGTCATGAGCAGTATCATTCCACTTCCCAGCCCGAAGCCAGCTCATTTGGAAAGCACATAGGATACCTTAAAGAGAGAAATGACACTGGGTTGAGGAGAAAAAGTTAGGCAAATGTGTCTAGCAATGTGAGCAAACAGTAGCAAAAATGTAAAGATTCTCATCCTCTTACACCTCCTTCAGTTTGGTATCAGGTGTATTAGGTATGATTTCTTCCACTGAAGAAAAGAAGGTTAAAGGGAGCACCTATTAAAATTTTCACTAAATGGGGTAGATAAACTGGACTCCAATAACACAATTAATATAGTTAAGATGTTCATAACTGGGCAGCAGGATGTAATGGTCTCATTCTCACAAGTTCAGAAGGTGAACAAAGCATCTTGATTGAATTACGTTACACTGGGTTGGTGAATATATGCAGTGGACAGGAAGGCACTGGCAGCAGATTGTGCTCAATTTCGAAGAAATTGGTATAGTATATGATGGCAATATGGATGAGGGGCCACAGGAAATTGTGATCAACAGTGTTGGTTTACAATGTGACTGGAAAGATTGCTCTTAAAACTATCTACATACACACAATATACTGTAAAATGGGCTGAATAGCTTTCTCCTGCACTGTAGTTGTCCATACTCATTTTTAAGTTCTTATTCTAATCTCTCAATAAACCTCAGTGCTCATGTTCAGCCACTCAAAAAAGTCAGCTTCCTTCAGAGAAGGATCCCATAAGTAAGTTTTTTGTAAAAAAAAATAAAAATAACGTCAAAGCTTTTAGTTACTTATAAGACAGCCATAAACCCAGCAAATTAGCTGCTGCTTTCACCTACAAATATCGTCACAAAAATAATCACAACTCTGGCTGGCAGCTTTTCACCGAAGCAGTCCTTGGAGTCGAATTTATCATCAGAGAGTGCGAAACAAATATATCAACTGCTAAAGAAAGCCTTGGCCTAGCTACAAACATTTTCCTCCTTCAGATTATTCCTGCTCATCAATGGTTCAGAGTTGATTTATTGAAAACATTTTTACAATTCTGTGCCTTCTTTTATTAGCATGATAACCAAAACAAACAGGACATTTTAGTTTTAATCTACTTACTACATACTCCAAATAACTTCAGTCATGTTTGCATTAATGCAGCATTAATCATGTTGTTGTGTATTAATGAGTTTTCAGGCTATGCTAATTACTGTCATAGATTCTGCAGCAGGTCATTAAATATACAAATTACAGAATTAAAGATCTGGAGCTGTTCATGATTAATCTTAAATGGCTAAAAACTAATGATGTCTGTATAAAGTTTTTCTTTACTTTTAGACGATATTATGACCATAGCTAAAAATAATTACACCAATTTCTTATCAATTATAGATTGTGCTTTAAGTGCTACATATTGCAACTTTAAGAATTCAGAGAGTCAATATGGTTTTTAAAGTATTCTTATGAGTTTCTTGCCCTACTTTTTTTTATGCGTACTTTGTGAAATTGTTAAAAAAAAGCACATTTGGTGGTACAGATAATGCAATGGCATAATTCATCAGTTTGAGCTTGTAAGAGGCAATTCTCTAATGGTAAATTGATAAACCCTGCACTTGGTATCGCGCAATACCACATCATTGAGATGTCTCAAAGTGCTTCTTGATACTTACTGTCAATTGACGATATTTGTAGGTGAAAGCAGCAGCTAATTTGTGTACATCATTGTCCCATAAACATCCATGAAATGAATGAACTTTAACGTCCTCATACTTACTGACCTCAAAACAGTGCTTGGAAATCTGCAACAAAATAAAAACAATACTGCTGCCCTGAATGAGACCAGCTGGCTGGTTTGTCTTAGAAGCTGGAAGTGCACCACGAGGGCACCCCTGTTAAAAGGAAACCGTAATGAGGTGTTCAACAGAAGGGAGTTTCTCTCGGGGTCCTAGACAATAAATCCCCCAAATAAAAATTGCTTACTCACTCCATGGCTGCTTGTGGAACTTTGCTGTCCGCAACTGGCTGCCATGTTTCGCCAACAAAATTCACAGTCACACCATTTTACAGTATATCCTGTGAAGCGCTTTGAGACATCTCGACGACATGATCAAGTGCTTATCAAATGCAAGGATTATTAAAGGCAAGCATTATTTAACTCGCTCAGCATAGACTGAGTCAGAGTTTCACACTGGGTAGAGAATCTTTGTATTTTATTGATACTGTGCCAATATCCTTCTTGGTTAAATAGTATATATACACAGGGTGACCAAAAAGTCTCATTTTTGGCTACGCTATTTTATAAAAATATCATCATTTCTTTAAGATATATTAGACATTGTAATGGTATCATGACATTTTGGTCACTCTGTACATATTTAACATAATTCTGGAAATGCTTGACACTGCCAGACAATTCTCAGGTTGGATATTTCACACATGTGAACTATCTGGTGCCTGAGCACAGATTTTTAAGGATCAAATAAGGCTTTTTTTCAAATGTATATTATTTGCGTTTTATATGCAATATTTAGACTCGAGTGATAAAATAATTACCTGTAAAGTATGTGTTGACAGGTAGAGTTGAAGTCGGAAACTTTAAGTAGCCATGACCAGGGAACCGTGTTCCTCTCTCAACATGAGCAAGGTGGCTAAATAGAGACGTATCCATCCTTTCCAGCTGGTAAACTGGAGGGGGACCATTCAAATCCATAGGTGGCTGCCAGAATATTTTCATCACTGTGCTGTTTAATCCTTCCACTCTAGGTGCACCTTGACCCGCTGGAGCTAAACATGAAATATATATATATATATTTTTAATTAATCCTCTGAGCACTGATTGTCCTTTCACAAATTTAGGATAATCAAATAATATCTCCGGCTTAACAAAAGGTTCCATCCATTCACATCAGGCTTTACCAGGTTTGAATTGTAAAATTGAAGGGAAAAAAAACATCCGTACATCCGTTCTTTTTAATCTCACCAGGAACCGAATGTGACAGCCATAACAAACGTGCTACATACAACATATTGCAAGAAAAAAAAACATCATTTCTGATGTTGCGTATATCAAGTTAGAATTACAAACATGTACAGTGCCCAAACTCATACTTCATTGCATACTAGACAAGAATATTAAAATTGTAATATTTTTAGTTTGCTGTTCATGCTCTCTGTTCTATTTCCATTTTCCCTCTTTTTTCCCCTTCATCTTCGCCCACAAAATATACAGTGAATTCACTTTACAGTATATTCTGTGTAGCACTTTGAGACGTCTCAAAGACGTGATAAGGCATTATATCAAATTCAAGGATTATTATTATGTACTCCAATCTACTGTTCCTAGCACGAGTGGTCCTTGAAGCTCAGTGAATGCAGACTATTTGGTTGCTGGGGTGGGGGTGGGGGGGCGGGGATAGCTATAGCTGAGCCCAACAGCCAATCCTCACTCCATTTCCCCAACGCACCTGCAGTAGGAGTGACTGTATGGTGATCTGGAGTAGGAATCTCATTAACTTTTCCCTTTTCAGAACCCATTAGCTGGTTCTTTACAGGGAGGGAGGGAACCTGGGTCCAGCCGACGCTGCTCTCTGCTCAACTACTCAATAGATAAATGTGCTGAGCCATCAGGGAGCATTCTTAATTTTTTTTTCCTAACACTTTATAACACCTTCTTAGCACTTTGACATGTTCTGAATGTTCCTTTTATATTTGTTACTTTTTCTTATACAATTCAACAGTATAGTGACAGTTAATATTTTCGAGGCAGATAGAAGTATCAAATCGATAGCTTACAAAAAGAAAAATGAGTGAATGATCAGCTGTTGGGCTGCCCTAGACATTTTTAAAACTGCCTTCTGTAATTCAGCAATGAGTTTTACAGGAACTAATTTTTCGCAGTTGAATCAAACCAAACAAACACTAAATACAGAGGGTTCTTGTGACAAAGTACATCACTTAGGTAGAGCAGTCACTGAAATTTTCTGTGGCTATATTTATAGCCTGAGGGAGAAAAGTTTAGCAATTACAGCACCAAATGCACAACCAAACAGCTCTCAATTTACTACATCTGTTACAATGAAGCATTTGCTCTAATGAACTCTCCTTAAAATAGTAGAAAAGTAAACATGACAAACCCGGGATCCAGATCCCAGAAACTTGACAACTGAAAGCCTTAATAAGTGCAGACCTTTCATTAAGTGAATTAATGCTGAGAAATATTTGGAGGAGACAGATATTGCAGATGAACTACTACACAGATCACATTGTTTTTGGGGGAGGGTGGGGTTCCCACATGAAAACAGTGCCTGATGTTGACATCATACATAACTGTGCATAATATAGGATGTCATCTGCAAAAGTAATGCCACATGCCCTTGCAGTATTAGAATGCTGAGCAGATTCTTTATTTCCGGGTGAAAATTGTGCTGCTCTAGGCAAGCGAGTTTCGAGCTTGGGAATAAAAAAACAACTTCCCATTTCAGCCACCCAGTGTCAACATCAAGCAGTCCCAGGTCAGGTACGGCACAGCAAGCAAACAATTTGGTATCGCTCGGAAGCAGACCAATATGGTCACATGGCATAATGTTACGCAACTGAACTCAGCACAGTTGGCCAGAGCAGATTGTCTCTCCAGTCAATCTGCTCTCTGCATTGGCATGCAACCGGCAACCCTCCAAAGGCCTTTCTATGGAGGCTCTTGGTCCAGTTTTCAGTTTTCCAGCTGCAGAGCGGTTCCTGTTCAGAGTACGACACTGGTGAAGGTTCCTAACAGTGGAACAGTGCCAAAGTGGAGCAGACAAGACCTCTGTAAACTACAAATAAATCAATGACAATTTTATTCACAATTTCATCTATACTTTGCCCACAAAAATATACAGTTAATTCACTTTACAGTATATTCTGTGAAGCGCTTTGAGACGTCTAGAAGACGTGATAAGGCTCTATTTCAAATGCAGGGATTATTCGTATATCGACAGCGTTTTTATTATTAGATTTTCTAATTGCTGAAATAACAGTATTTTCCCTCCTTACTTACATCTCCAATGTCTTTTCCTCCAAGGCAGCTTTCAGCCCGTTTATACATAAACTGGATGATTCAGAACATTACCTATCCTGGAAGGTTCAAGTCAGATGTCGCATTCTTTTATCATGTGGTTTACTACTGTCCATTTATTCAGTTGAGGATATTTTGACTTATAATAATAATCCTTGCATTTGAGATAGAGCCTTATCACGTGCTTGAGATGTCTCAAAGCGCTTCACAGAATTTTACTAGAAAGTGAATTGATTGTATATTTGTGGGAGAATCGCAGCAGTCAATTGCGCATATTAGCGTTCCACAAACAGTGTGGATGAGTGACCAAATTAGTAATTTTTTTAATTTATTTTTTTGATGGGATTATTACCCCACAAAGCGATCCGCCAATCGAGTAACAACCGGGTTCCTACCTGCTGCTAGGTAAACAGTGGCGTGTGGCGTAAGGAAACTTGCCCAATGTTTCGCCCTGCTAGGATTCAAACCCAGTTTCCTCTCGCTTATGAGGCAAGTGCCTTAACCACAAAGCTACAGGACTCCACATGTAACTACGTTGACTAATGTAACAGATAAATTATTTCTTCCAGGCAATGTTGACCTTACAACCATGCATGCTTTCAGAATAATGCACTCACATAAAACAATGTAACGGGGCTTTGTTCCACAGCCACGTGAATTGAATCTCATCAGTAATGGCACATGATTCCTCCACATACATCACACTGACGCTTACTAAATCGTATTTTAAAAAAATTACTTAAATTGCCTTTTTTTTTCCTGCTGGCATAAATTATGATGTTACCCAATTGCAACTTGTAACTCAAGTAACGTAATGTCACTGTTTGGATTGCAGCATTATTATATTTAATTGGATCTACCCTCCAAATAATTAGTTAAATTGATGTTTTCAGTCCACCAATGTAAACAATTTACTGCCGTGATAAACTGTCCCACTGTATAAAAGATTAACTAGGTATACTGTGTGTTGGACATTACAAACCTTTGTTATTACCAGCCAAATACAGCTCAATATACAGTTTATCACATGGACCTAAGTTGCTAAAGAACTGCTGGCAGTCAGGAATCCCCTCCTCCTTATACAATAGTTGCTTTTATTCACAATCGGTGTACCTCATTAACCTTCAAGTCTTAATTTTGCAATACCCATGCGTTGAAAATTGCTAATGATACCTGGCTCAAACCCTATTGAGGAAAGACATATCCTGCCTCTTTGGTGTCATGCATCCTGTAATATCCGAGTTTAAAAATCACAGCAACCTCTTCAAGAATTTTCACAAGCTGCTATGAATCATTTTTCTTTAAACTTTGTAAAATACTCAAAAGTTTTCAGGTACATTCTATTTTTTAGACCTAGCTTAGGCGTTGCATTATGTGGCAAACATTTAATTTGTAATCATTCATCCTTCCAATAGCTGCTACGGTTGTTGCTGTAAAAAGCTTCCCAATTTTATGGTCTTTTAATCACAAGGTCATAGTTCAAGACGCTTTCATTTAAAAATGTAGTCTTTTGACAATTTTGCCCACAAAATATATAAAGTCAATTCATTTCACAGTATATTCTGTGAAATACTTTGAGATGTCTCAACGACGTGATAAGGTGTTATGTCAAATGCAAGGATTATTATTATTAATTTTCCACATGTGCAATTGGGACACACAGAGAGTCCTGGCATGGGATTATTTGAAAGGGCTGTGTGCTTGGTAATATGAAAGTTATTTATAACATTTGGATAAATGCCAAATAAACCAGTTTAAAATTAATTTGCGGCCACATAGGGTATATATAACAAGTTCATTTTTTTTAAATTAATTTTTTTTATTTTACATATTATATTATATTGTTATTAACAACCTGTTATTAATTGCCTGTAGCCTTCACACATTTGCTAATACAATGGGAAATGGACTGTCTCCCAAACTGCCATTGATGTCTCTAAGAGCTCCCAGATTTAAGGTTGCACAGGACAATTCCAGGACAGATATCAGAGAGTATTTCTTTGCACAGAAGATAAGTAACAACTGGAGCAGGTTACTGGGAGCCTGAGTCCTGGACACTGGACACATTTTTAGAAAGATTGAAGGTGGTAAGAAGGCAGGTGGGTGTTATAGAAAGATGAAACCAAATACCTTCATTTGAACCTCTTGTGAGCACAGGTTTCCTTGGCTCTTCTCATTTCTCTGCCAGTTATTTCAACTTGGCAGTGTACTGCATTAGGGCGTAGGTTAAGCTAGTTTTTTGAATAATAAAATCTTCAAGGATACATTTCTTTTTAGAGACATACAATTGAACATGACTATGATTTTCACCTCACTCATTTCAGGAGTGAGGAAAACATTCTCAAGCAAATGAAAGGAAGCAATTTATCAAGATTGTGGAAAATCAAAAAAAGAGTTTTAAGTCACCTAGGTGATGTATCAGTACTTACAGATCCAGTAATAGGACACAGAGAAGTTTGTTCCCCCCAAATACAGTTTGTTAAAATATGCCTTTAACACACAAATGATGAAGCCCAATCCTTATCAGCATTTAAAGGGGAACTGGATAAATAGTTGAGGAAAATAATATTAAATGGTATGGATTTATTGTTAGATAAAGGGAAAGAGTAGTACAATGTGATTGGACGAGATAGCTCTGGTGAGGGAACCCGCACCACCAAAGACACACAGTCAAACAGCCTCCTACTGTGATGTGATCACTTTTGAAAGGAACTCCTGGTCTATTTTGCTC